CCTCTCCTGTCCCAGCATCCCTCTTCTGTGCCCAGCATCCCTCTCCTGTTCCCGGCATCATCTGTTGTGCTCAGTGGCCTTCCGCTTGCTGTATTCATGTTTGAGGTCGTCAAGCTTCTTCTAGTTTTTCATAAAGTGTCCAACATGTTTTAGTGAGCACAGTTTCTTTTAAAAATACTATTCCACTTGGGAGGTTAAGGCACATATATTAGTATATACTTAATATGCATATAATCCGATACATATATATTTACACACACACACACACAAACACAGGATTTATTAAGAGTGACTTACAGGCTGTGATCTGGCCAGTTCAACAACTGTTGGCTACAACAGTAAGTACAAGAATCCAGTAGTTATTCAGCCCGTGAGGCTGGACTCTCAGCTGATCTTCAGTATGTACTGGAGTCCCAAAGAAGTAGGCCCTAATGCAGTGAAGGAATGGACTTGCCAGTGAGAGTGAGGGCAAACAGGCAAAGAAGAGAGAGCTTCCTTCTTCTGTGTCCTTTGTTTCAGCAGATGTGGCCTAGATTAAAGGTGGGTTTTCCCACCTCAAAAGATCTGGATTAAAAGTGGGTCTTCCCAGCTTCAGAACACAGGTTTACCCTGTCTTGGTTAATTCCAGATATTGTCAAGTTGACCACCAGGAGAGTGTACAAGTGACTGCCTGTCCTGCACGTATGTGCATTTGTGTGTGCACCGTGTTTGTGTTGGTGCCCATAGAGACCACACGAAGCATCGGATCCCCTGGAACTAGTTACAGATAGTTATGAACTGCTAAGTTCCTAGCTGCTCAGTTGGTGCTGGGAACCAAACCTGGGTTCTTTACAAGAGCAGTAAGTGCTCTTAACCCCTCAGCCATCTCTCCAGCCTTTTGTTTGCTGTTTGCTTTTTCAGCTTTCTTCTTCTTCTTCTTCTTCTTCTTCTTCTTCTTCTTCTTCTTCTTCTTCTTCTTCTTCTTCGTCGTCGTCGTCGTCGTCGTCGTCGTCGTCGTCGTCGTCGTCGTCGTCGTCTCCTCCTCCTCTCTTTTTTTTTTGGAGGGGGGGGCGGTTCAAGACAGGGTTTCTCTGTAGCATTGTAGCCTCTTCTGGAACTAGCTCTTGTAGACCAGACTGGCCTCGAACTCACAGAGATCCACCTGTCCCTGCCTCCCGAGTGCTGGGATTAAAGGGTGCACCACCACCACCTGGCTTAAGCTGCCAACTTCTTACACTTGCTTGCAGAGATAGTCTCCTCTCATTAGCTAAACTTCAGGCTGTCCCATAAGGGTCTTTGTACTGACGAAGCCCCTGGGTAGAACTCAGAGACCTGTGATCTTAGATGGGACGCTGACTCCATCCTTACCTCAACTTGACCCTGAGCAGCTGGCTTTCCTCTGCACACACAGGCAGCAGTGAAGACCCCTGCTATTCACAGGGCCTGGCATTCTCTCACGTGTATTTTTAGTTAATGGTGCAGCTGTCACACATGTGTCCAAGTGTTGTTTATGTCCAATATTATTTCAGTTGCAGGAGGTATCAGATTCATGGTTAGGTCATGTGATATACTGTGTTAATGTAGTAGTAATAGGAGTAGAGTGTGTGTGTGTGTGTGTGTGTACGTGGTGTGTGTGTGGGGGGGTCCCTCCCAAATATGATTTTCTATGTTTGGTAACTGAGTCATCCTATGGCTGGTTTCCTTCAATTCTTTGCACATGGGAAGGAGCTTACCTTCCCGCAGGCACACATGCTCTGTGGGCAGCTGTCTCTCTTGACCTCTGCTAGGACTGTGTCTATTTCTTTACCCAGGTGGGCTGGGTGCTGTGTTAATTAAATTCCTGGGTGGAGCAGCTTTGTCCAAGAGGTTCCGATCTCCCGAACTCCACCGGCAGCCTCACCAGCCAATGTGAGTGCCCCCAGAGGCTGGGTTGAGCCCTGCCGGCTGAGAGGTACATTACCGGGTCGCCAGGCTGGCATGCTTTGCTCTGTCCGCACAGCCCTTGAAAGAACTCCACTAGACCCACTGCTCTGCTGGTCAAAGGACTCCTGTCCTCTGAGGAGCTGGGGATGATTTTCTGTCCCTGCATTCCTGGCTTCTTAAAAATAAAAGCAGAATTCTTGGAAGTTAGACAAGACCAGCTACTAGACAGCCGTTCAGAGCTGCAAAGAACCAATGTCTAGGCTAGCACATATGAAGACGCCTTCAAAAGAAGCCCTGAGAGACAGGGAGTGGCTGCAGGTGTGTATTAAGTTTCTAGAAAATTTTCAAAACAGCGCTAAAAGAAAACAACAGATTGGGGCTGAGCCTTGAATGGGCAGCAGCCACTCCTAGCATACGGCCTGTTCTGCACCACCCACCCATGCCCATGTCCTTTGGCCCCGCACTGCTAGCCTGGCCTTTGTCTGTGTCTCTTTGTCTGCCACAAATTCCTCCACCCAGTGCCATGGGGATTGAGGCCAGCCAGATTCCCAGCCAAGGCTTTTTGAGTGATTCAGTCATGTTCGGAAAAGGTTTTGCTTATTTTTTTTTTAATCATAAAATGATGGTTGCTCTTTCCTGAAAATGTTCACAAAATTTTGTAAGGTCAAAAATAAGGAAAGGATGGACTAGAGAGATGTGTCAGCAGTTAGAAGCACGGTTCTTGCAGAGGACCTGAGATTGATTCCCAGCACCCTTGGCAGGAGGCTCACAACCACCCATAATCCCAGCTCCTCTTGCAGGCACCCATGTTCACATGCACACACACACACACATATAGTTTAAAAAGATTAAATAAAGGGGTTGGGCGGTGGTGGCGCACGACTTTAATCCAAGCACTCAAGAGGCAGAGGCAGGCGGATCTCTGAGTCTGAGGACAGCCTGGTCCACAAGAGCTAGTTCCAGGAGGACAGGGACCAAAGCTATACAAAGAAACCCTGTCTCAAAACCAGCCAACCAAACAAACAAATATAAGAGAAGGGGGGAAATCTGTCAGTGGTGATCTTGGCATGGATATTGTCCTTTGCCAAGTAACTTCTGAGGTTTCTCTTCATGATGACTCTGCATGGAAGAAATGTCAGGACTTTGAGGGGCTGGGCCACTTCTACACACCCTCAACTCTAACTTAGTCACATGGGCTCAGTAATGGGGAGTCCCTAGCCTTTTTATATGAGTGATGTTTATTTTTTCTTTTTAGTGTTGATTTTTTTTTAAAGATTTCTTTTTTTTTCAGCTTATGTATATCTGTGTACCGTGCATGTGCATGCAGTGCCTGTGTAGGCCAGAAGAGGGCGCCAGACACCCCTGGAGCTGGACTAATGGGTGGTTGTGAGCTACCATGTGGGTGCTGGGAACTGAACTCAGGTCCTCTTGCCAGAGCAGCCAATGCTCTAAACGGCTGAGCCATCGCTCTGGTTCCCTGTGTTTCAGTCTTGTTAGGTGTAGGGTTGTAGCTGCTAAATACAAACAGATACAAATCTTGCCTCAGTTCTTGGTACTGTATCCTCAATGTTTACTTCCAAAAGTTCCCTCTATGCTTGGATTCTGTGGATGTCTGTAGAGTGTCAAGTGCACGTATACCATATACCATAAAACATGCCACCAAGTCCCTGTGACTGGGCGTGGAGGTGGCTTTCCTTTCAATTAGCCGCCTTATTTTTATTAAGTTTTTTAGTCAGCATATAGAATAATAGATTTCATGATCCACGGTTCATATGCCTTTTCATTCACATTTATCATTGTTCTTTGCTCCCCTCTCCATCTCCCTCCCCATCCTCTTTATACCCCCCATTGTTTCCTTCATCATCCCAAATAGTCTCCCTTCTCTTTCCATCACATGTGTGTATGTGTGTGATATAATGACAGATTTTATATATGGTATAGAGTATGTGATATTTTAGATACTTTATCTTCTTGCCTTTCATCCTCTCTTGTTCCCCTCTCTTTAGAGCTCTATCTACTTCCTGCCCTATAGGCACCTTATACTCTCATGTCCTGTGGATTTTGCCACTTTAAATAGCAGCATGGCTGGGCTATAGCTCCATGGGAAGGAGTTTCTTTAGCAGGTGCACAGTCCTGTGTTCCATCCCCAGCATTCTCAATAAAACAGAACAACGAGAACACGGTGTGGGGAGGTGTTGTGTTATCGTGGGTGCCCATTCTGGGCTGCTTCTTCCAGGAACCTTGGGCTTTCTGTGCAAGGCATCATGGGAGACTGGCAAATAAGTCAGAACCAATCCCTTGCCATGGAATGTGGAGGTAAATAACCTTCATCCAAAGCAAGGTGTAGTCACTGTCAGCTGATGCCTAGATCTGGAATGCAAAAAAGCATTTTGTCCCCGCTTAACGGGATTTTACAAACACTGGATGAGAAATTCTGAGGCTTTGTGTTCACGATGCAGGAGGAGGTTAGGAGCCACCTAGCAGAGGGGATTGGTGTGGGTGGGCGGTTTGCCACAGCTGGCAGGTGTTGCTAAGGAACAGGAGGGCTTTATCAGACGGGCTGGGTCAGCTGCTTGTCTGTGTCTGTGAGGACCCCCCCCCCCATCACCACAGAGGGACACAAACAAGAATTGCTGGAGTCCCAAGCTGGTGTGACGTAGGGACAATCTAAGCCCACACAGTCATCTTGCCATGTTGATTTCAGGAGTGTTCTGGGTTTCTGTGGGTTCGGCTGATGCCAGAGGCAATGTTCTTTCTGTTGAAGCTTTGGATTCATTCAAATCAGTCTCGTTTTGGGTTTCACCTTCTCTGCCTGTGAGCTTTGAGAGTCTTTTGTGGAGGGCCTGAGAATGTAGGTAGGAGCCACCTTGCTCCCAAGCTAGAGAACGGGACAGGGAAACTTTGTGACAAGGGAATGTCTCCACCAGCCGACTGCTCACCCAGCAGAGGCTATACCTGTTTTCTCCCTGCCCGTTTCAAGCTCTGGGCGCTTTAAGATTGACAGCTGTGTCAAGTGGGGGGAATAATAGGGGTACTGATATGCTGTGCCTGCTGCCTGGGGTCTCTCCATCACTCTGACCTCATGTGCTCTTTTCCAGTCTTCTCAGGTGCCATGACGCAGCGGCCCCAGGAGGACTTTGACAGAAGTGTGGAGGATGCCCAGGCGTGGATGAAGGTGGTGCAGGAGCAGCTACAGCTCAATGACAACACACAGGGGCCCCGAGCGGCCCTGGAAGCACGGCTGCGTGAGACGGAGGTAGGCAGTGATCCGGCTTCGCTGGTGCTGTGGGATTGGCCGCCTCCCTTCTGCTCTAGCTGAGGGACTATCGAGTTGTTCACACCCTGACTTGTGTTTCGATGTCCTGGTCATTTTGCTTAAATATGCATTCTGAGAAGGTAGTTTGGGACAGAGGCCAAGGTTCTGATCTTCCAGAAAGTTCTACAAGATGACCTAGTTGCTTGTCACAAGATGTCCCTCCTTCCAGACCAGGGTGGGCATCCTCACATCCAGGAGGGTCACCTACCCCTGTTGGCTCAGGCTTGCCTCTGCCCATCACCCACCTCTCAAATCCAAGGCTTCTGTTGGTCCTGCATTGGCTCACTTCTACCCTCAGTGGGGAGCAATTACAAACCACTGTTTGGAGACTGGAGAGATGCCTCAGCTCTAAGTACGTGGTTTTATCCCGCTCTTGCAGAGGTTTAGAGTTCATTTCCCAGCATTCCTGTCGGGTAGCCCACAGCCACCTGTACTCTAGCTGTAGGGGATCTGTTGTCTTCTGGTCTCTGTAGGCACCTGCGCTCACACAGACTCTCACACAGACACATGTACACATAACTAAAGACAAAATAAATTATTTAAAAAGTGGGAGGAGTCTGGAGAGATGGCTCAGCAGTTAAGGGTACTTGCCATTCTTTCCGAGGACCTGAGTTCAATTCCCAGCACCCATGTTGGGCAGCTTATAACAGCCTGTAACCCCAGCTCCAGGGGATCAGAAACTCTTTCAACCTCTGTGGATACACATGTAGCATCCATACACAGGCACACATGTGTTGATTTGGTCAGAGCCCTCACAGACACCCTCAGAGGTGTGCTTTGCTAGTCTCCCAGGTGGCTCTCAAAGCAGCCACGATGACAGTTGAGGCTGACCATCAAGAGCCTTTTGTTGGTTTCCTCTTAAATTCTCTGTGGCTCCCATTGTCTACCAAAGGAAAGCTAAGCCTCACCCAGTGTTAGAAATCCTCCCTGTCTAAGACCCCCCATGTTGTTACCCCAGAAATCCTCCATCTAAGACCCCCCTTGTTACCCCAGAAATCCTCTGTCTAAAACCCCCTTTGTTACCCCAGAAATCCTCCCTGTCTAAGACCCCCATTGTTGTTACCCCTCCCAAACCAATGCCCTCCTCTATTTCCTGTCATGAGCCTTTGCCCACGAACTGCGTCTCCTCAGAAAACCCATCAGTTGGCATGAGTGAGCATATGAAATGAATACTGGCTTCCTGGTGCCCTCCTGCCCATCGCTGTCCATCAGCACCGCTGTCCTCCCCTGCCCTTCCTCAGCTGCCTGTCACGTGAAACCCTGCACCTGCTGGCAGGCTGGCAGGTTGCGATTGAGGGCCAAGAGGGACATAGGAGGAACTGTTTTCTAGAGTGGTGTGTGTGTGCGCGCGTCTGTGTTCATATGCTTGTGTGATCAGGTCATGTATGTGTGTACATGTGTGTCTGTGTGTAAGAGTCCAGCCCTGGTAGTGGGAGGACCATCTGCTTGCTATGGGCTAGGACACTGGGACACAGGCCATACTTGTGGTCACAGGGCTCCCAGATTTTCTCCCAAAATGTCTGTGTCTCGTTCTCCTCACTCTCTGGTTTCCAGCCTTCTGGGGCCCACCCTTGAGTCCCAGCCTAAGATCTTTCACCGGCTTCTAGGCTTCTTCCCTATCAGGAGTGCCTCAGCCTTTGCTGCGGTCTGAGCTCCAGAAGCTGGGTGTGTGCATCCCGAGTTATGTCCTGCTTCTCCACTTTCTCCTCTCTGCCTTGCCAGTTGTGCATGGACCATTTCCATGCATGGCATCAGTGCTGTCTCTTCCAAGAAGCCCTTTTGGATTTTTCCCAGTTCTTCTTTGAACTCCCAGGTGGTTCCTTTTGCACCAGTGTCTGGATTCTCTTGTCTGCAGCCTTCCCTCTGTCCTGCCCGGAAATCCCAGAATGGGCCACACTGTCCAGCGCCATGCCTAGCCCATGGTCAGCTGGTATTGGCTGGGTTGAGGGAAGCCTTTGGCTAGGATTGTCCTCGCTTTTGCTGCCTCCTCCTTCTCTCCCTCTAATTGGCTCCCATCCTTGTCACCAACTGCCCCAACCCAGCCAAGTGACACTGCCGCTTCTGTCTTGCTAAACCTCCCTGGGATCTCTGCTTGCTGGTGAGGGTCCTTAGGCTGAGCAAAAGCTACAGAAGGGAAGCCCCCATGCCACGGCAGGGTGGGTATGGCAGAAGCAGGGACCGATTCTTCTTCTCTGTTCCTCCCTCCCCCTTCTCTGCTGTGGCTCTCAGCCTCTCCTGGCCTCGGGCACAGCAAATATCTCTTCTGGTTTGGTGACAGGTAGGGACAAGCCTGTAGGTCTGGGGAAGGGAGGTGGCTTAGGGTTCTGTCTCCTCTGGGACCTGTCAGCTCTTTTGCCCTTTCAAGGACACATCAAGATTCCATGCTTGGGAAGAGCGGAGGGTCTCGGTGTTTTCATATCTCTCCAAGTCCAGCCTGTGTCCCTCCCGTGGGAGATCAGGTGGACAAAGGCAAGCTCACCCAGTAGGGTGCTTTAGCTTTGGGGGAGGAGAGCTTTGTCCTGGTCACCTCACAGGCAGAGCGGGTTCCTTAGGGGGTGTGCCCTGCAACGCTGAATTTTACTTCTTCTCCCAAGTTAAAGGGTCTCTTGGTTTGCAGAGGCCAGCAGAGCCCAGTGAGACTCAGGGACCTAGGAGCCTCCCTGGCTGCTGTAGTCTCTACCCAAAGCCCCTGGCGTCTGTGGGCCCTCAACATTCTTAACTGTAAAACTGGAGAGAGAAACACATCCATCCTGCAGGTGCGAGGACTCCTTCATACATCTGGGTACGAGAGACAGCGTCTCCTAGTTATTATTCTCAGCCAGATCAGATCTCTGGCCAGCAAAAGATTCATCCCCAGCCATACTGCAGGATCCTGTTCCTGGTGGTGGGCGGCATCCCGCATGCTGGATGCTCAGTCTAGAACACTCTGCAAGTGGCTCTTGCGTCTTCAGTCTTCTGTGGTCACAGAGGTATTGCTGCCTTCCTCACCGCTGGTTGTTACTGAGTGGGACACAGGTCCTTGTGTGGAGGACCAGAGAGGGTGGCTCACCATATCTTGCCACCCCATAGAACAAAGGAAGCTTCTTCTCTCTTGTAAGGATGCTCCCCGCGCTCCACCTGACCTGGTCCCCTCAGAGAGACAGGGGAAACAGGAGGGGACTCTTTGATAGCATGTGGGAGTGGGAAGTCTCCGCATCATACACTGTTGACATCCTGGCTAATGTTTATCATATGATGCAGAAAAGAGGGGTGGGAACTGTCCACATGTGTTGGAGGAGCGTCTGTCTAATTATGTAGCAGTTTTGTCAATATGCTTAGCAACAGTGTGAAGGTTGGATGTAACTGGAGGTTCCTCTCCTGCCTGCTAGTTCCTGAATAACCACTCTGAGGCTCAATATTAATTACAAATGGTTTGGCTGATGGCTCAGTCCTCTTACTGGCTAGCTCTACATATAAATTACCACCTGTGCCCTGTGGCTTACAGGTAATGTTCTGGCATCTTACTCTTTCAGCAGCTGCTGGCATCTCCCCAACTCCGCCTTCTTTCTCCCTGTATCTCTGTTTGAATTTCCCGCCTCGCTATATTCTGCCCTGCCTTAGGCCAAAGCAGCTTCTTTATTAAGCAATGGTAATAACACATGTTCACAGCATACAGAGGGAAATCCCACATCAGTTGGACATAGCAGGGGTTTCTGTATTGAAGTGAAAAGGATGCATAGAATAGTCATGTGATCTGCCTGACGTCACACATTGTCAGAGAGGGCCGCATTTGAGTGTCAGGAGCCCTTCCTTCCCCATCCACTTAGAAGGGGCGGAGACAACCACGCAGCCCAGGACATGAGTCGGAGAAAGATTGCAACTAAACTTGAGGTTAGGCCAAGTAGGTAGGTGGCAATCAAAGAGAAAAAAAGAAAGAGATTCTATTATCTGCAAAAAATGTAATAATAGCGGATAGTTATTGATGGCCAGCACCGTGAAGGCCAGGTAGCACACTAGCGTGCGACTTACTGCAGCCCTGGTGTTGACATTGCTACCTTCTTGCCTGTCATAGGTCTGATGTGCAGAAGTCACATGGCAAAGGTCACTCTAGAGTGACCCTTGAGTCCATCAATGGCTCTGGAATTGGTCCTGTCACCTGATCAGGAGGTCAGACTTATGTCTGTGAGATGGAATAATAACAATAGCCACAGTAGCTGAGGTTCGTTGCCTGCTGTGCTCACGCGCACCCTCAGACAGCTGAAGGCAGGATGAGATTCAAGATGCGGGGCATCACCGGGTGGTGGAGGTGCACACCCTTAATCCCAGCACTCAAGAGGCAGAGGCAGGTGGATCTCTCTGGGTTGGAGGTCAGCCTGGTCTACACAGTGAGTTCCAGGAGGACAGCCAGGGCTACACAGAGAAACCCTGTCTCAGGGGATAAAAGGGATGCAGGACATCTGTGAGGAGGTGTACCCCTGAAAGATGATGATGGGGTACAGGACTGGCAAGGTTTATCGGAAGGGTCGAGGGGCTTACTGTGTTTTCCAGTTTTGTTCCATGGCTGTGATAAACATGGTAACCAAAAGTGGAGTAGAAAGGGATTATTTGACTTACTTCCGGGTCATAATCCATCACTGAAGGAAATTGAGGCTGGGCATCAAGCTTGAAGGAAAAAACAAGGAGGAACAATTTACTCTCAGTCTCTGTCTCTCTTTGGCCTCTCTCTCTCTCTTACAGCCCAGGCCCACCTGCTTAGGGATGGTGCCACCCACAATGAGTAATGAACAATCAGGACAATGCCTTCACTCACATCGCTGCAGGCCAGTCTGATCCAGAAGACGCCTTAATTGAGACCTCCTCAGATGAGTCTAGGTTTCGCTAAGTTGACAGGATACCTCATATCTGGCTACATGAATCTGAGTCCCAGGGCCCACAGTAGGAGAGAACAGAACCTCCCAAATATCCTCTGACCTTTACATATGTACCATGACATATATGCACCTGCACTCATACACACACACAGACACAAAACACCCCCCCCCCCCACATACACACACACTAAATAAAGTTAAAGAGACAGAGATGAGGGCACAGCCTGGGAGAGACAGACCAGATTGGCCGGACATGGGCAAGGCTCTGTGGTGTTGCTGAGTGAGTCACCCATCAGGAATGGACTGTAGAGTTCCTGCCACCCGTGGGAGCAGGACTTCGCAGTGAAGAACAAAACAGTATGACTGACTCCTCTTGAGCTTGACTGGGTGGGGACCAGAGTCTCACAGCAGACGTGAGGGTGTCACCTCACGGCCACGCACATGGTGATGCACATGCCTAGCCTTGTTTTCTTCTGAGTTAAAGTCCGAGAGGTTGACCTACTCATACCATGGTCCAGGACGTGGAAAGTATCCCAGGAGAGAGTGAACTTTCTCTGAGTTGGAAGCTGGATGTGGCCGGTGGGAAAGGTCAGGGCTAACCGCCAGAGCTTCCTCTCCCTTCCCCAAGCCCTTAGCAGTTTGCTCAGGGGCACACAGAGGAGCATATGGCCTTTAGCTGAGCTGCAGCGACTCTAGCCTCGAAATCCCAGCTCTTGGTGCAGGGCCTTTGCCTGTGCCGGTGGTGTTGGGTCTAACGCTGGGAAACTGCTGTCATACCCACAGAAAATCTGCCAGCTGGAGCCCGAGGGATGCATGAAGGTGGAACTGGTCCTGCGGGCAGCTGAGGCCCTCCTGGCTACCTGCCAGGAGGGCCAGAAGCCCGAGATCCTGGCCCAGCTGAAGGATATCAAGTCCCAGTGGGAGGAGACGGTCACCTACATGACTCACTGCCACAGGTAGGGATGGTCAAGGGACCTCACCGCTACATGCTCAGGTGCTGGTGACCCTCCTTGTCCAGTACCGTATTGTCATGGGACCCCTGTTAGAGAGACACTTCTTCAGGCTGAGGGTCCTGGGAACAGCATGTGCTCTTCAGATTCAGGCCAGAGCCTCTTTCTAATACCACACAAGCATAATGGTGATAATGGGCGGACATGAGAAACTTGAATATTTGTGCCAGCAGACCTAATGGGTTTGTGTATGTGTCCTCGGCATTATGACAGACATACGAAGGCCTGTCCCTGCCTAGGGAGATGGCTCAGTGGCTAAAGTGCTTGCTTTGCAAGTAGGAGGACCTGAGTTCAGTACCCAGAGCTCGTGTAAATCTTTCTCTCTGACATCACAAACAAATGTCTTGACGTTGACTGTAGAGATAGGGCCATCTCCACATTAGAGAGGCAGGCACTGGGGCAGATGAAGGGGCGGGGCTGCTCTGAGAATTCACACAGGCCCTCAGTCCCCTCTCCCTACTTGGTGGCCACTAACTGGCTCGCAGATAGTTGTATGCTGCCTAAGGTCAGGCACAGTCCTGGGGAAATCTTCTAATTGCTTCCAGGTAGCATATGCTAAGGGCCTGGGACCACTGTGGGCAGAGCGAAGAATTTGTGTACTGGCAGTGGGAGTTCAGAGACAGAATTTGGGGTACTGGTGGCTCAGGACCACCTGAACTTCATCTCCCCAGTGGGTGGCTGAGGGTACGTATAGAATCTGGGCTTGGCCTCATGTGGGAGATTACTTACAGACTGCAAGGTCTCATGGGAAAGGAGAGTCTAGAATCTGGAGTGTGACTCAGTGCAGAGGCGGCACCTTCATGTCCCTCTAACACAGTCCCTAGTATCTGGGAGGGGGCTGTAGCAGGGTCTCTCACCCAGGGGCCAGGGGCAGGCCTCTCAGCCTGGCCATCTCTTCCACAGTCGCATCGAGTGGGTGTGGCTGCACTGGAGTGAGTATCTGCTGGCCCAGGATGAGTTCTACCGCTGGTTCCAGAAGATGGTGGTCGCTCTGGAGCCCCCTGTAGAGCTGCAGCTGGGCCTGAAAGAGAAGCAGTGGCAGCTGAGCCACGCCCAGGTGTTGCTGCACAATGTGGACAATCAGGCCGTGCTGCTGGACAGGCTGCTGGAGGAGGCGGGCTCCTTGTTCAACAGGATCGGGGACCCCAGCGTGGATGAAGATGCCCAGAAGAAGATGAAGGCTGAGTACGACGCTGTGAAGGCCAGAGCCCAGGTAAGTCGCGGATGGCTCCGTCTCCCACCCACCGCTCTTCTGCACGCTCACAGCCAATCCATCTTCCATCAGTCTATCTCCCCACCCACTCCCCACTCAGCCTCCTGGCCTGTCTGCTCCCTTCCTCCGTGTGTCTGCAAGCCTCCCTTTCACTCCCTACCACCCGCTCCGTCCATCAGTCTCCACTCTCCTATCTCTCCTACCCATCTGTCCCTCATTCACCAGCCCACCGCTCCCTAACTAACTCGTCTGTTTGTCTCTTCAACCACTTAGCCATCCACCCCACCCATCTGTCCCCCATCAAGACATCCTCTCATGTAGTAATCGTGTCCATCTATTTTCCTGCCCACCACCTACTCACTGTCTGTATCCGTCCACTTGCTCACCCATCCAGCACCCAGTTATCCATCGACCAACCTTGTACCTACCCATCCACCTATCCTTCCTCCCGTTGTCCCCATGCCCAGACTTGCTTAGGGCTTCATACATGTGTGGATGCTTAGTAAATACGCTACAAAGTGAAGGATTGTGCTTCCCTTCATCCTCCATCCTTCCTACCCTCCCTCCCCCCCCTTCCCTTCTTCCCCTTCATCTTTAAGCCCATCTACTAGTATTCTTGCTCATACCCCAATCCTGCCCATCCTCTTGCCTCATCCTGGCCACGTTTTGGCAATGGTTCACTGAGTTACTATGTTAAATGATTACCTTTTAGAAATTCTGTTTTTCTTAATTGGTTGTTAGTATGTCTACCTGTTCCTTTCCTTTATAAAAATGTCCCTTTTCTGCAGTGGGGTTAAGTTCTTGCTGTTATTAAGCATAAATGTTGAACAGTGGAAGCTGCAGGGGTGGGCACTTGGTGCCACTGTGTCTCCTATGGGCGGATGGGCTTCCTTGTTCCTCTGTGATTTCCTACTGAGCCTGTTCCATCAGGGCGTGGCACCCATCCCCATGGCTGAACCTACCCTAGCAGATCTCTGTGTTTGCTCCAGCCAGGTGCCCTGGGAATTGACCTTCATGGTCCCTGTTTCTCTGTCACCATGCTTGCTTGGTGGTTCCTGAAGTGAGTGTGCTTATTGATTTGTTTTGGAGACAGGGTATCACTGTGTAGCTCTGGCTGGCCTGGAACTCACTCTGTAGACCAGGCTGGCCTCCAACCCTACTTGCCTTCTAAGTACTGGGATGAAGGGTGTGCACCATCATGCCCAGCTGTGAGTGTTTTTAAAAACTAAATGCTGAGCCCAATTGATGCCATAGGCTCTTTGTTCCATGTTCTGCAAGATGGCTGGCTTTGCTTGTTGCCTATTTATTTACTTATTTTAGGCAACTGCTTCCTTCTTGCTTTGTATTTGTAGAAGTGTATGCATGGTCCCACAGTGGTGGGGAATGAGGGCAGCTCTCTAGGGCTCTGTCTCTCTGCAGGGTCTCTGCTCCTTTGGGCTTGAAAGTCATTATTCCTCTTACAGCCTGAGGGAAGAGCCCCAGACCCAGCAACCAAGACCTGGGTGCGCTATGTGCTTCAGGCTGGTGGTCACGGTGTCCTTCTGCAGAGAAGTCTCCCTTTCTGTGTCTGCAGTTCCAAAGAATGTGTCTCTCTTTCCCACATTCCTACTGGTGCTGTGGGAGGGTATACTCTTGTCCTCAGTGCTGGGGTCTTTTGGGGTTCTCATGCCCACAATTTATGGGAAGAGTTTCTATAATAAGCCAGTATGCTGGTTTCCATGTCCAAAGGCCAGGTACCACTGACCCAATAGAAAGAGCCAGAAGTTCTTGATTCCCAAGGTAGACATACATCCCGGGGCAGTCGCCACACCAGAGTCCATCGGTAGGGTTGAGGGGGTAGGTTGGGGTGTGGTTGCTTCTGAGCATTAGCACAGAAGGGATTTGATATTCCCGGAGGAGCTGGGCGTAGGGGCACGAGACCTCCATGATGGGACCAGCAAGGTTGGTGGGAAGCAGGGAGCCTTTCTGGTACAGCTGTAGGTTGACCCCAACATAGAAATGAGGTGTTAGGGCGGGAGGGGAGTGGATTCTGCAGAAGTAAGTTATTTCACCTTTTGACTGCTGGATGAAGCCTGTGAACCATTGGTTCTCTCTTCTTGAACCCCAGAGGAGTTAGAGGACTGTTTAAGTAACCATCTGGCTTGGGAAAACACAGAGGCCCTTGTGACATCACACTCAGATGTGTGTGTGTGTGTGTGTGTGTGTGTGTGTGTGTTCTTGTAAGGTGAAAGAGGGTGTTGGATCTTATGAAATCGAAATTACAGGCACTTGTGAGCTACCTAACTTGGGTGGTGGGAAGCAAACTTGGATCCTGTGTAAGAGCAGCAGGCGCACAGAACTACTGAGCTGCCTCTCCAGCCTTCTCTCTTTCTACCTTGTACATCCTGGCTGTGCATCTTGCTGACCCGCCTCGACAACCCCAGTCTGTTTTTAATAGATGTCCCACATGTGAGGCGGTGAGCCTCTGATACGGGTGAGGATAGGACCACCCCCTTTGGCTTCAGGGACTACCCCTGCAAAGCTTGTAGGCCCAGTCCAGAGGTGAGCAACGGCTTCTGTCTTCCCCAGGCATCAAAAGGGAAGTGCAGGCAGGCCAGCTGGTGCCAGGAGTGTCTTCCTTGTTTGATTTGAAACATTGCTTCCGAGTGGCAAACAGCAACATCCTCCCTCTTCCGCCTCTGAGAAGGGTTGCCTGGCATCAGGCCATGGGTCCTAGACTTTCTGCAGTCCTTTGTTGGGGACATAAATCCAAGCCACCCTGTTAATTGCTCGGGTTTTGACATGGCTGATAACTCTGCTTGCTGCAGATGGTTTAATTGTTTGGTTTAATGAGAAGGCGGAGCCCTCAGCCGCTCCTTACCCTGTCACCCTCCCCCTGTTGAGCTGGCTTTGAAATGGCTGTGCCTGGCACTCAGCTAGTCTGGATTCCTGCCTGCTGCCACTCCTTGCCAGCGCCTGCTCCTCATCACACGGACTTTTATTTACTCTGGACTTTTCTGGGTGCCAGCACCTCATTATTCACACGGGCAGTGCTATACACAGTTCATTTATGGGGGGGTCCCTTCCAACCCTCATCCGTCACCTTCAGCATTAGCCTCTGAAGTCCCTAGTAACCCGCTGTGACTTATCCATGAGGCTTTCCTGGGATTGGAGGAGCCAAGTGTGCAAATCACAGGAATTGGGGCCCATCGAGGGAACTGAAGAGGCTCCACCCACTTCCTGAAAGTTGAAGACGGATCTGTGAAGGCAGTGGTCCCTGCCAAGGCTCTGTTTTGGGTTGCAGGTGACCCCTTATCTTGAGATTCTCAGCTCTCTCCTAAGTAACCTGATCCCAAGCCTTGGATATCCCAGCTCTAAAATGGGGAGATTTTCTTCTGCTTGCTGTAGTTACTGCTGAGGTTTAATGAGTTATTAAGCAGTGTTGGTAAACAGTGTCTCAAAGGAGGGGAACCGTGCACAGACTGCGGGGGAAGGTTTTCAAACCTACCTGCTTGCTCTCCGTAGTGGAGGACTTGAGACTCAGCTTCCCCTGGGCTCTGGGCCTTCCTTAGACATGGCCTTTTCCACAGCAAGGAGCTGAGATCACCAACCTTCGGCTGCTGCACTGTCTGGTTTCTCGTAGGGCTGCTTGGCACTGGGCTAAGAGCAGCTCTTAGGTATTTAAATGGACAGGGAGAATTTCAAAGCCATTTCATGACATACAGAAATGACCGGAAGTTCAAGTTCTAGGCTTCATAACAGAAGGTTTCATAGGAACAGGGCTTATTTTCCCCACTGTCTGGCTGCTTATGTGGTACAGTGCAGGTAGCTCCTGAGTGAGTATGGCAGTAGAAGTCACATGACAGGCAAAGCCACAAGCCTTTGGCTTGATAGAAACAGTCTGGGGTCCCCCCCATCCCTATGTGAAGATGGAGAGTGTAGTTAGTGCCATGGTTGCTGTCTGGATCTCAGCTTGGGCCCTGTGAGAGTCCTAGGCCCTCCTGACTCCAGGATGCACCTTTTCAGGAGGGTGACCCATTTAATACCCATAGTTCTATGGCCAAGGTTATGGTTTATGGGTGCCCCACACACAAGGTGGTGTGGTGAATAGTCCCCCAATCCTTTCCTCGACTTTCTCTGCAAGCCCCTCCTATTGTCCTTTGCCCCTCTATTGCCGTGACATAAACTCTAATCAAAAGCTTCCTAATGAAGGAGAACGTCCATTTGGCTTACTCTTCCAGGTCAGTGTCCATCATCCAGGGAAGTCAGGGCAGGAGCTGAAGTGGAAACCATGGGAGGATGCTGCCTGCTACTGATGTTCTTTATGGCTTCCTCTCTAGGTTTTACACCTTCCTTGCACAGCCTGGACCCTCCACATCTCTGACTGTCCTAGCTGGGTGGCCTTGGGCATATCACTCTCTGGTCCTCGATGTCTTTGTCTGTCAATTGGGATACAATTGAGAGCCCCTTACGGATGGGCAGGGGAGTTTCCAGAGTTGGCATGGGACTTTCTTAGCAATGCCCGCAACGAGCAAGGGTGAAGGCGAAGGTGAGGGTAAGGTCTCAGAAGGGCAGCGTTCTGTGGTCGGTACTGTCGTCGGTGTTACTCCCATGCCCTAGTCAAGTGGCGTTCCCTGGACATGGCAGGATGGAATGCCAGCTGTAGGGTTGCCAGGCCAGGTGCTGGCATGTATGGGACTCCAGAGCAATGGGCTCCTAGCCAGGCTGGGGACCCTCATGGCAGGCAATTCTTCCTGCAGCACAGGGTGGACCTCCTGACCCAGGTGGCCCAGGAGCATGAGCAGTACCGGGAGGATGCGAACGAGTTCCAGCTGTGGTTGAAGGCGGTGGTGGAGAAAGTGCACAGCTGCCTGGGGCGAAACTGCCAGCTGACTACGGAGCTTCGTCTCTCTGCGCTGCAGGTACGCTACTGTGACCCAACCAGGACAATGTCCCCACTAGGGCATCTCGAGCCCTGGCTGAGGGAGACCCTACAAGTTACAAATGGGGATAATATTAGTTTTCACACCAGACACAGACGCCCGCAGCCCACAGCACAGACTCCTGGGAAGAGTGCCGGGGGACCCAGTACGAAACATTTGGGGTAGTGGCTGACAGATGGGACGCTTGAACACATAGGATTCCAGGAGCCGGGTCTAGACTCATGGGTCTCAGTGCAGGGTGCATGGCAAGTCAGGAGCCATTTTTATTCAGTACCAGTCTAAGAGGGTGCTGCCCCTGGCTCCCAAAAATGGAGGCCTGGGCTGCAACTATACTACAGTAGACAGAGCAGCACCACAGTGGAGAATCATCTCACTCAACTGCCAGTCATGCCACAATGAAGAGCTTTGGGTGGGCAGGGTCAGGAGAAGTGGGTCCGTGTCACCTTTCACACTGCATGGCCGGCAGGAAGCCTCTAGATCCTGCATCTAGAGAGTGTATGCAAGGGTTTTGCCCTAGACGTATGCACAAGATGTACAGTGAAGAAACTGTTGACTTGACTCCTCTATGGTATGATTGTTGAGAATGAGAATAGCCAGGGGCATCTGGTAGTGTCCACGACAGGGAGAGAAAGAAGTGGACTGAACACGGCCATGGCTGTCTGCAAGAGGGGGAGACCAGCAGGGGATGGAGAATAGAAAGCGCATAGTGAGATAGCAGGAGCTGAGGATGGTGAGGATGCCAGGCTGTAAGGGGCTGTGGTCCAGGCTGAGCTCATTGCGTGATGTTTGCACTGCCTGTTGGAGTCTGGGGAACTGCAGTTCCCTTTGGACCAGACAGCAAGTTATCTTCAGCAATTCAAGAGCCGCTTCTCAGCTTTCCCTGCACTATGTGCTTGGTGTGTTAATTTATATTAAAGTCAACTGGCCTTTGAAGAAGTTGGTGAACATTGAGAAAGAAAACCTAAGAGCCAGGTGGAGGTGCACAGCCATCAGCCTGATGCTTGGGGGCTTAAGGTGGGAGCATGGAAACTTGGAAGCCAGCCTGGGAAAGATAACTATAAAGATGAGAACATGTTTATAATCAGAGCCTGTTTACTAAAAAGGGAGAGAAAAGAAAACTTGAATCACTGTTGTAAAGGGGAAAGCCAATACCGTTCATAATACAGAAACAAAAACCAGGCATGGAGCTGGGTAGTGGTGGTGCATACATTTAATCCCAGCACTCAGGAAGCAGAGGCAGGTGGATCTCTGTGAACTCAGTGCCACTCTGGTCTACAGAGTGTGTTCTGAAACAGCCAGGGCTACAATGAGAAGCCCTGTCTCGAAAAACTATAACCAAAACCAAAACCAAAAACCAACCAACTAAGAAACAAACAAGAAACAGGCATGGCTATACATACCTGTAATGCCGGCACCTGGGAACTCTGAGTATCATAAATTTAAAGTTATTTTTAGGTATATATTGAGGCCAACCTGGGCTACATCAGCCACATACACATTTCTCATGTATCTATAAGATACAGCAATACAGATAGACATGCAACTGAAATCCAAATAGGTATTGGCACACATGCGTGCAGTGAGGCTCGGTGTCCCTTCATTTCCTGTGGCCCCACGGCATATTTTGCTGATGGCTTCAAGTTGATTTGTTTTAAAGAAGCATTAGCAAATGCCAGACAGTGCTGAAGACAGGCACACCCGACAGAGACATCCAGTGTTCAATGGGGAGACGGGGAACAGTTCACATCCCACAAGTCCACGTTACCTAGAGCAGACAGTCACCCTTGGCGTGATCCCCAGGCTGCCCTGAGAGCACAGCTAACCTTTGCTTTCCTGCTGTCTCCCCATCACCCTGGACAGGATATCGCCAAGGATTTCCCTAAGGGTGAGGAGTCTCTGGACAGGTTGGAGGAGCAGGCCGAGGGTGTCATTCGGAACACCTCTCCTTTGGGTGCAGAGAAGATCTCGGGGGAGCTGGAGGAGATGCGAGAAGTCCTGGAGAAGCTGAGAGTCCTCTGGAAGGAGGAGGAAGGGAGACTGCAAGGCCTGCTCCAGTCCAAGGGGGCCTGTGGGCAGCAGATCCTGCAGCTGGAGGCAGACCTGGGAGAGTTCAAGAAAAGTCTTCAGAGGTTGGCCCATGAGGGCTTGGAGCCCACGGTGAGGACAGCCACAGAGGATGAGTTGGTGGCCCACTGGAGGCTGTTCTCGGTAAGTTCAGGGGTACAGTGGACCTCAGGTTGCCACTTGGGGTCACTCTGTGATGGAGAATCGTAATCGGCTTTATGCATGCTCTCTGGTGTGAGCGTGTTATCCTTTGGCACCTGAGTTCCCTGAAAGAGTCATTAGGGAGGCAAGTGTTAATTTCCGTTTTCCAGACAAAGAAATGGATGTCTGAAATGTTTTTCTCCTTGCAATCCCTAAAGGAACACAGTAAGTTGGTTACTAATTAAGACCCAAGGAACATAGGACACCCAGACTTGGGCTTTGAAGTCCTTTCCTTACTCAGCACTGGGATGAGGGATGGATGTTGTGGCCAGGGAGCAGCGAGATTAGCAGTGGAGAAATGATGAGAGAAAAGCACAGGACAGGGTCTGGGAAGAGCGAGCAAGGACACCCATTTCGGGAAGGCAGTGTGGGCTCCTACCTACTTAGGAAGTCTTAGTCACTTCCATGTTACTGTAACAAAACAGCAGAGGCAACCGACCTATGAGGAACAAAGGTTTGTCGTGGCACATGTTCTGGAGGTGCCATTTGAGATCTATTGGTTGCCTTTCTTTGGACCTCTGGTGGGGACAGCAAGTCATGGTGAGAGTCTATGGCAGAGTAAACTGTTCACCTCTTAAGCCAGAAAGCAGGGCCAGCCAGCTGATAAGCAGGCCCTATGGATCCCTTCAGTGGCACACCTCCAAAGACCTAAGGACCATCCCTTACCTGCCCCCTCCACAAAGCTCACAGCACTGCTGCCAGCACCATTCAAACCACAGGAAGTGTGACTTGCAGACAGGTTTTAGCTAAAGATCCCCAATCCTTACTTTATCGTTCATATCGTGATGCATTTGAAGGACCTGTCCAAAGCCAGTGCTGAGGCTCAGCGGTAGAACTTACCTAGCTTGACTGAGACTCCAGGTTCCTTCCCTAACCCCTTAAGTGGGTGGGCGTCAAAGGAACTATCTTAAAAAAAAATAAAAGTCACTCCAATCTCTCTTCTGCTCCACCACAGCGCTAAGGTGCTAAGGTGTCCTCGTCTACCTTTATGCATTTGGGAGCTTTTTCACCCAGCCTCCCTACAAGACAGATCACAATGTATCTTTCTACACAGGGGACCACTGCATCCTCAAGGGTCACTCGCTTCATTCTGAGTTGCAGCGTGCTACAGTGGTTGAGAGTGGGGATTGTGGGACCAGGCTGCCCTGGTTCAGGCAGGTTCCTCTCCTTTCCCCAATGGTCTACATTCTCTAAATACCTCTCATTGGAGCTTTGTTCTTCATCATCATCCTTTTTGTTAGTGCCAAGATTGAACTGCAGTTTAAGATATCCCAGAACCAGTGTGGTCGGATTTACATTGAGGTCTTTGTGCATGGGGATAGATATTGGATATAATGGCATTCTTCTACATGTTGGCATTTAGTTATGCCAGCACCATTTTGTTGAAGATGCTTTCTTTTTTCCACAGTATAATTTTAGCTTCTTTGTAAAAAATCAGGTGTTCATAGGTGTGTGGATTAATATCCAGGTCTTCGATTCAATTCATTGGCCAATCTGCCTGTTTTTATGCCAATACCAAGCTGTTTTCATTACTATAGCTCTGTAATAGAGCTTGATGTCAAGGATGGTGATTCCTTCAGAAGTTCCTTTATTGTACAGGATTGTTTTGGCTATCCTTGGTTTTTTGTTTTTTTCTATATGAAGTTGAGCATTGTTCTTTCAAGGTCTGTGAAGAATTGTGTTGGGATTTTGATGAGGATTGCATTGAATCTATTGATTGCTTTTGGTAGGATTGCCATTTTTATTATGTTTATCCTACCTATCTAAGCATGGGAGATCTTTCCATTTTCTGGTATCTTCTTCAATTTCTTTCTTCAAAGACTTAAAGTTCTTGGAACCCATTCTCTTTGAATGGATATCTTGCTCACCCTGGATATAGTGGGGAGAGTCTTGTTCCTTCCTAGGAACAATGTGCCTTGGTCTCTCTGGGGAGTTGATGGGGTTGGGGGAGGGAAGGTGGAGAGAATAGAAGGAGGGGAGGGAGTGGGGAAAAAATTAAAATTAAAAAAAAATCCCAGAACCAATGGGAAAGCCTGTATTCAATGGGAACAGCTAGAGTAGAATGAAGCTGGCATTTGTCACAGTGTCACTGTGAGGAAGATGACATCATGTGTAACCGGGCTGTTATAGGGAAGTGAGCAGGGGCTGAGCCTAAGGGTGAGATCCCCCCAGTTCATGTCCTTGGTGACCAGCTCCTCCAGCCTGGCCAGTCCCCGGCCTCCACTCAGCCTCTGCACACACACTGTCATTCCCCAAGGGGCCTCACCAGTGCCTGGTTGTCATGTCTTGCAGGGGACCCGGGCTTCACTGGCTTCAGAGAAGCCCCGTGTAGACCGACTACAAACTCAACTGAAGGAGCTTGTCGCCTTCCCTGACCTACAGTCGCTCTCTGACAGTGTGGTGGCTGCCATTCAGGAATATCAAAGGTACCCAGGGAGGCAGAGGGCAGGCAGGACTGAGGGTGGGCGGGGCTAAGGGTGCTGGATACTTGGCACCGTGTGTGTGTGTGTGTGTGTGTGTGTGTGTGTGTGTGTGTGTGTGTAAGATGGGCTGTCTGGGGATGGCCAGTCTCCACTCTGCAGAGAATCTGCCCTCTCCTCATTCTTGCATTTGACTCCCAGCAAGAGGCATGAGCTTTGCTTTTCATGGCTGGGGGAAGAGGGGGATCAAAGGCCCACCTCTGCTGGGTCTTAAGTGACTGACTGTTGGGAGGGTTTCGCCATGTGGGGTCATAGGGAGAGCTGCTATGTAAGTGAACACCACTCCTCTGCCTCTGACCATGCTGAACGTATCTTCAACACTGCCTCTACTTACCTCTCTGCCTGTGGAAACAGTCAGGCTCAGCAAAGAGCAGGGCCATGGCCTCCCACTGCAGAAGAGAGCATTGCACATTGGGACACTCACCTATTTTTGTTCAGAAGGCATCCTAAAAATAGCTCAGCCATCCCAATAGCACCCCATAGTACATCTTATACCCCTGCCTGGTTATGGGGAATTCCTTCAGTTGGACAGAGGAACTTCATCTGCTGTGTCTCTTTCCCACAGCTGTTCCTAAATCTCACATCTGTAAAATTGGGATAGTGCTGGATGCTGAAGCAGAGCTAGGTCAGGAATCATGAATGTTCCCGGGAGCAGTGTGAAGGGTGTTGGAATCATGAATGTTCTTGGAGCAGTGTAAAGGGCACTGTGTTGCTAATTCTTCAGAGGAATTGACAGCTAAGGCACACAAGCCACAGCTGCTAGACCTTACTCTAGACTCCCAGATTTTCAGATACTACAGAACCAGAGGATACTAACATATCTCATTTCCTTGAGCACTTACAGGCCCGAAGGAGCCAAGGGTCTGTGCTCAGGAAGACTCCAGGCCCATGGTCACTGCCGTTCTGTCTCAGCGGTTATCAGTTCTCCCCTATGGCCTATGCGTGTGTCCATACACACTCAGTGCAGCCCGTGTGTAAGGAGGGCATTGCCTGCCCTGGCAGCCTGGGCAGAGGCCTTACCCTGAGCTGATCTCACTCTCTTCTCTCTGGATCTGTGCCCTGTGCTGCCCTGGCAGTATGAAGGGAAAGAACGCCAGGCTCCACCACGCGACCAGGGCAGAGCTGTGGCAGCGGTTCCAGCGGCCCCTCGGTGACCTGCAGCTGTGGCAGGCCCTGGCCCAGAGGCTCCTGGACATCACCACCAGCCTGCCGGACCTGCCCTCCATCCACACCTTTTTACCCCAGATTGAGGTAACCAGTGTGGGGCTGGGGAGACTGCTGGCCTAAGGGGTGGCATCTCAGCTACTCTCCCGGGGGCAAGTGCACACCGGGGTCCTCGAGACACCTGAGTCCCACTCACTGCTCTGTGTCAGCCAAGTGCCAAGTGTACAGGAAGGGCCATCACTTGTTCTCAGGGACAGATGTCATCCTTAGTCCTCAGGTAGAAGAGCCAAAGCCTAGTGTGACTTTTCATGGATCTTCTCGAAACCACAATTTTGTCTCCCTTGGGGACTCTACCATAGGCAGAGTATTAATTCTGCCAGCGTCATTGCCTTCACTGTGTCTTCAGTGATAGCCTGACCAGTGGAAACTTCAAATACAGATGTGATCAGGCCAATTCAATGGCTCAACAGTGTCATCTGGAACACAGGCTCTGCTAGCTCCAAAGCATGTCCCTTTCTGGCCTCCACTTAGCTGCCAAGGAGCAAGTAGTATTCATTACTGATGGGAACTGCACCGGAGCCCAAGGAGTCCCTCCATCCATCATCACTTTCACTGCCAACAAGGAAGTAAAGCCTTCCTGGGAATCTTTCATTTCATTGGTTGGTCAGGTCACATGACCACCCTTTACCCCAGTGTCTGGTTGAAGATGGTGAAATTGTCATGATTGGCTGTACCAGTAACACTAACAATTCTGTGCCTTCAGTTGAGCACAAAACAAACGTTGGCTGTTTGGAGGGAAATAGTTACAGGGAGAGCATTTGGCAGCATCCGCCGGGGTCCTTCAACACTGGGGCTTTGATTGGCTCATAAACCCTGCTTTGTGAGACCACTGAGCTCAGTCCACGAGATGCTCCTATGTCCAGGGATTCTCAAACACACAGAGCAGACAGAGGCATGAAAAGGTGCCAGGTGCCAGCCGCATTGTATATGTTTTTATTCTGCTTATAAAATCGTACCTACATTCCCGAGAAAAATGTAAAGATTGCTGGGAAAAGTACCCACCATCCCATAAGACACAGGACCATCATCAACACATCAGAACAGTTCCCCCCTCACCATTCTAGCCTCCTGGGTGTTGCTGGGAGAATCTTTACTCAGGGTTGATCTTGCTTCCCCTGGAGAACACTGCTCAGCCTGCAGTTTGGGGCATGCACATGTGTGAACCCAAGGTCCATGTTGGGAATCACTCGATTGACCTTTCACCTTATTCGCTGAACCCAGAGCTCACTGGTGTGGTTAGCCTTGCTAGCTAGCTTGCTTTAAAAATCCGCTACCACCTCTGCCCTCAGAAGCTGAAATTACATCTGGGCCACCACTCCCATCCAGCATTTGTTTGGGTTTTTCGGGATTCAAACTCGGGTCCTCAGGCTTGTTAAGTAAGTGCCTCAATGTTGAGCCATCTCACCAACTTCAATTTCTCCCTAATTATTTATTTTATTTAGTTTTTGAGACTGGGTCTCCCTTTGTATGCCTGTCTAGCCTAGAGCTTACTGTGTAGATCAGGCTGGCCATTAACTCAGAGATCCACTTGCTCTGCCCTCCAGATGCTAAGATTAAAGAAGTGTGCCACCAAGCCCAGCTCCATGGTACTGACAGCAGGACATGATCCTTCCTCCCATGCGTAGGCACTGAAGGATGCTGGTCATCTTTTTTTTTTTTAAAGTTGAAAATAGATTTGATTATGTGTATGCCCTTGTGTGGGTATGTGCTGTGAGCACAGGTTCCCTAGGAGGCCAGGGCAACACGTCCACCTGAATCTGGAGTTAAGGTGGGTGCTGGGAATTGAACCCAGGTCCTCTGCAATTGTTGTATACTTTCTCAACCACTGTGCTATCTCTGAGGCTCTGGTGGTTATCTTTCTAAATTTTTTATTTTATTTGTGTGTGTGTGTGTGTGTGTGTGTGTATGTTTTGCCTGTGTGTGTGCCTATGCACCACTGTGTGCCTGGTACCCACAGAGGTTAGAAGAGGGCATCAGATCTCCCTGAAGGAGAATTGCAGGCACTTGTCAGACGTTATGTAGGTGCTGGAAATCAAACCCAGGTCCTCTGGAGGGGTGGCTGAGTCCTGTCTCCAACCTCTGATGGTCACCTTTTTTAGGTGAACCTCATGAGCATTTATGAAGTGATCTCAAATGAAATTTGTATGTACTACAAACCTCAGTTTAAGGTCAGAACGTCCCAAACCTGTCCTTTTATTTGATAAAATCCATTCATACCATTCCATGTGATAGAAATTCTAAGTAATTTGTAATTTTTGTGCATTTAGGATCATGTCATGTAGCTGTGGACTGTGATGCTATGGTTCATGTTTGTAATTCCAGCCTTTTAGAGACAGAGGCAGGAGGATCACTGTGAGTTCAAGACCAGCCTAAGCTATGTAGTAATCTGCAGGCCAGCCTGGGCTATGGAGTAAAACCTTGTCTTTAAAAAAAAAAAAAAAAAAAAAAGAAAGTCTAGGGCTGGAGAGATGGCTCAGACGTTAAGAGCACTGATTGCTCTTTCAGAGCTGGTGGTGGTGATGGGGGGGGGCAGGATGCCATAGCTGGTGGTGGTGATGGGGGGACAGGGTGTCATAGCTGGTGGTGGTGATGGGGGGACAGGGCGTCATAGCTGGTGGTGGTGATAATGGGGGAGGACAGGGTGCCATAGCTGATGGTGCTGATGTTGAAGGGGGGGGGGGACAGGGTGTCATAGCTGGTGGTGGTCATGATGCAGGGACAGAGTGTCATAGCAGGTGGTGGTGATGATGGGGGGGCAGGGTTTCCCAGACAGGAAAGGTGATGAGTTTTGCTACGTGGCTTTTGGCAATGAGATGGGTGAGGCTTGGTAGAAGACAACCAACATGGATCCTGAAATTCAGGGCCTCCCAATGTATTTCCATCAGTCTGTTTCTACTGTGCTGCTTCTTCCAACGCCCGCAGACACATGGCTCCATTGCAGGAACGGTAGGAAACGGTGTGAGCTTGGGCCTACCTGGCTGTCTGACGGGCATGGTCCCTTGTCTCCCACAGGCAGCCCTAGCAGAAAGCTCCCGCCTGAAAGAGCAGCTGGCGATGCTGCAGCTGAAGACGGACTTGCTCGGTAGCATCTTTGGCCAGGAGAGAGCAGCCGCTCTCCTGGAGCAGGTGGCGAGTTCTGTGAGGGACCGAGACTTACTGCATAACAGCCTTCTGCAGAGGAAGAGCAAACTGCAGGTGAGCATCAGAGCTCCGCCCTGGAGTGTGGCCATGGGGCGGGCACAGCCCTTCTTGTTACCCTGATTTCAGCCTCATCCCCCTTCCCCGTGGCTCTGGATAGATGCCTTTGTTACCCACAGTTTTGGGTTCTGTGTCCATAGACAGGGCAAGACTTTCACGTGACCCCTCTAACTGGCTCCCTAGTCACCTGTCTGCTGCTGGTCACTCATAACCCTACATTTCAATCAGGCCACCCCATCTTCTGCAGAGCGGATGGGCAAGCAAAGATGGGGTGGGTGAGTTGGCTCAGCTAGTGGAGGTGTTTGCTGCTCAGCCTCCACTCAATTTCAATCCCCAGGGTCCAGATGGTAGGAGAAGAAAACTAACTCCTACAGCTGTCATCTGACCTCCACATGTTTATATGTGTGCAACATGTGCAAGCACACACATACATAAATAAACTAAATGTAGTAGAAAATGCAGATACAAGGGCCCGCTAACTTTAACCCTCCAGGATCCCAGGAGTGAATGTAGGTGGAGTTTTTCATCAGGACTGCTGGCCAGATCCCAAATAACCACCCAGACTTAGTATTAATTATAAACGCTCAACCGATAGCTTAGGCTTATTGCTAACTAGCTCTTACAACTTGAATTAATTCATATGTTGTATCTAAGCTCTGCCACATAGTGGTACCTTTTATCGCATGACATGGCCATCTTGCTTCTCTCCTTGTCTCCTGGCAGTTCCTCCCTCTTCTCCCCAGGCTCTCTTTTTGACCACATGTCCTGTCAAACCTTTTTCTTCCTAGCTATTGGCCAGTGAGTTTTTTATTAACCAATGAGGGTAATACATATTCACAGTGTACTAAAAGATTATTCCACAGCTAGTGAATTCTATTAATGGCATGCTTCTGACTGCAATAAGTCAAAGCAATGGCTTGGCACTCTGCAGACAGCCAGTTCTAGCTGCCAAATATTTGCCAAGTGACCAGTATTGATGATAATAATAGCTATGGTCTACAGGTGTTGGCTCTGGGCCAGGCACCTGCTACTCTTTGTCCAGCTGACACCGTGGGGGAGGTGCTGCCAGCTTCCCTGTTTTACAGGTGAGGAGAATGTCAGGTGTCTTATGATGGCAAGGTCAGGGTTCAGGCTGCATCACCTGACACCAAGCCAACAATTCTCACTTCAGCAGGATGAGGCAGGGTTGCAGGAGCTGGGGAAACCAGAAAGGAAGTGAGGTCTGCACTCTCCCCATTGCGGCTGCTGCTAGTTAGTTACAGGAGGCGGCTGCAGAGTGGTCTCAGCAAAGTTCTAGATCAGTGGCTCTCAACCTTCCCAGTGCTGCGACCCTTTAATGCGGTTCCTCATGTTGTGGTGACCCCCAACCAAAAAAATTTTTTTTTGTTGCTACTTCATAACTGTAATTTTACTAGTACTATATAAATATTTGAGTTTTCCAGTCATCTTAGGTGAACCCTGTGAAAGGTTTATTTAACCCCAAAGGGGTCTCGATCCAAAGGTTGAGAACCTCTGGTCTTCAGGCTGCGGCTGCTGCTGCTGTTGAGGCTGCTGCTGCTGCATGCACTCAGGCAGTGAAGATGCCAGTGTTTTTCAGGCAGTTGGCCCAGCTCCGCCTCTATATCAGAGAATCAAAAGGAAATGTGTAGGCGGGACCGCGGTCTAATAAAACCTTATTTACAAACAAGCTTCCGGTGAGACTTGGAATATGGGGGAGGGCTGTTCTCGAGGACCATGGCTAAAGTGTGGTAAGAAAACACTAGAGTGTTCCATCAGGGAGTGCTTCCTGGAGAAGGTGGATCAGGAGCCAGTACTGAGAGAGCAGCATTGTCGGCTCTTCCCAGGCGCTGTGAGAAAAATGCTTCATTTGTATTTGCAGAGCCTGCTCGTCCAGCACAAGGACTTCGGGGTGGCTTTTGACCCCCTACACAGGAAGCTTCTAGACCTCCAAGCCAGGATCCAAGCAGAGAAAGGGCTTCAGCGGGACCTTCCTGGAAAGCAGGTCCAGCTGCTAAGGTTGCAGGTGAGTGGCTCTGTCACCTGGCGCACTGTTGACTGCGCGGGAGCTCCCCCTGCTGGCAGCAAGCTGCAAAGCAGTGCCCAGCCTGACCCCAGACCTGACTCCCGGGTCTCAGTAGAATCTGCTTATTCAGCTGGCAGTTCCTGGGCTCAGCGGGGCTGTTAGCACCGCAAAGCCGCTAGGTCTGGAGCCTAACGGGGCGACAAGCAATTATTTTGTTTGTGCGTGGGTTCCGAAGTTTGAACAAGGTACTCAGTCCTGCTCTCCTTTTACTCCGTTTGGGATTCCAGCCTATGGGGTGGCATCGTCCACATTCAGTATGGGTTTTCCCTCTTCCGTTAATCCCCATAGACACACCTAGAGGTGTCCTAGGTGATCCAAATCCAGTCAAGTTGACAATGAGAACTAACTGTCGTATGAACTATTTTTGGTGAGCCCTGAGACTTTCAGTTGAATAAACCAATTTTGCGATTAGGAAGCAATGTTTTATATCATGTGTGAACTGCATGCAGGCGGGTCATTGGTAATCACTGGCTGGCTGGAGAGCTTTACTGGTTTTTATCATGCACATGACACAATGTTTATTGTTTCAAACCCAAACACGGTTCCTGTATAAGCTGACAGCGTTCTCTGGAAAACATTAAGCGTGGCACATTTGAGGCTTTAACACTGAAGTGGTTATAATTCTTCCTAACAGCCAGTGATCACCAAGTGAGAGTCCAGACGTGAGTTTCTTTCCCAAGATGCTGTCTGGTCTTCCTGGAGTTTATTTTAATAGTGCCCTGGAATATTTGTGTCTGAATTTTAAAGATTCATTTGCCCTGAAAAGGAATCTATTGGACCACCCAAGTGCTGCAGCCACTGATAGAGGGAGAGTGCTATTCTGGGAACCCCAACTAGGGACTCTTGTACTCAGAGCCCCCACTCCACTGGGTCTCCAGGATAGAGGGTCTTCTGGGTGGAGGGTCTTCTGTGTGGAGGGTCTTCTGGATGGAGGGTCTCTAGGATAGAGGGTCTTCTGTGTGGAGGGTCTCCAGGATAGAGGTTCTTCTGGGTGGAGGATCTTCTGGATGGAGGGGTTTCTGGGTAGAGGGTCTTCTCTTCTGAGTAGAGGGTCTTCTGGGATGGGTCTTCTGGGTGGAGGGTCTTCTGGGTAGAGGGACTTTTGGGATGGGGATCTTCTGGGTAGAGGGCCTTCTGGGATGGGTCTTCTGGGTGGAGGGTCTTCTAGGTAGAGGGTCTTCTGGGTGGAGGGTCTTCTGGATGGAGGGGTTTCTAGGCAGAGGGTCTTCTGGGATGGGGTCTTCTGGGTGGGAGGGTCTCCAGGGTGGAGGGTCTTCTGGGTGGAGGGTCAGGTGGCCAACCTCACTTGCTCTTCTCCGTCACAGGGGCTGCAGGAAGAAGGCCTTGATCTGGGGACACAGATAGAGGCTGTGCGGCCTCTTGCCCAGGGGAACTCTAACCACCAGCACAAAGTGGACCAGATTTCCTCTGACCAGCAAGCCCTGAAGAGGTCCTTGGAGGTAAGGGACCAGGGAAGGGCCTGAGAAGTGAGGGCCAGGTCTTAGAATCCTATATTCCTGGGTTCTTTCTCCTTCCATCCTCCATTCCTTTCCATCTTTCTTTCTCCTCGTCTTCATTTGTGTAATTTCTGATTGTTGAGCGATTTCTGTATGCCGGCTGCTGTTCTGGGCTCTAATGGGGGAGACAGTGCACACTGACAGACAGGGCCTTGCTTTCCTGAGGATTGGGAGGAAGGACAGCAAGTGAGCGACGCCAGGGTTTCAGGTTGTGATGGGGGCCACAGGAGTGAACTCACAGGCTGGGTTGTCCCTTCTGCCTGTGTGGGTACACAGTTGTTTGTGTCCCCCTAGCCCTGGTGGCCTCAGAGCCTTGTCTGCAGCGCCCTCTAGTGGCCTCACGAGCACTTTCTGGTGCCCAGGATCGGTTCTACTTCCTCCAGTAGGATGTTCAGAATCCCAGCCGTCTACACAATGGATGGAGACAAGCAGAGATGCAGGCTCCAGGCTCCCGACACACCCTGATTCAGACAGACTTGACTCTGCTTTTTAATTAAATCATCACGGAGTTCAAGCTGATCCCTGGCGACACCTCAAGAAAACCCATTGCTCGGCTAACTTCTTCCGTCCCACCTGGCCCTGTATGCCCCGTTTCCATAGCAAACACCTTCTCTGCCATCCTGATAACAGGTGGGCACAGTACTCTCACAGACCATTTAGAAATGTCTAAAATGGAAAGAAACTCTTAAAGAGACATTGTAGGGCTGGAGAGATGGCTCAGAGGTTAAGAGCACTGACTGCTCTTCCAGAGGTCCTGAGTTCAATTCCCAGCAACCACATGGTGGCTCACAACCATCTGTAATGAGATCTGGTGCCCTCTTCTGGCCTGTAGGCATACATGGAAGCTAAACACTGTGTACATAATAAATAAATCTTTAAAAAAAAAAAAAAAGAAAGAGACATGTCGCATGTAAGTGGCTACAGCTAGCTAAGCTCCGGCCACAAGGAGAGTCAGGAAATATTCCTTTCATGCCACAGCCACTGACGCCATGCCAGGCAGCACGCCCAGCATCACCTCTAAGGAGTGAGATTAAAATCTTGACCAAACCAAAGCGCAGTTTTGTGTATAAGATGGGTGTGTGCCCAGACAAGCCAGTGGCCTCTTTAGAACTTCAAAGACTCCCTTGCACCTGTGTGTGGCGTTAGAACCTGTCTTGGTTAGGGTTCTTACTGCTGTGAGGAGACACGTGACCACAGCAACTCTTTTTTTTTTTAATTGTTTTTATTGAGCTATATATTTTCCCACTCCCTTTCCTTCCTCCCTTCTCCGCTTCCACCCTGCCCCTGCCCCCCACACTCCCAATTCTCTGGAGCTGACCACAGCAACTCTCAGAAAGGAAAACATATAATTGGGCTTGGCTATAGTTCAAAGATTTAGTCCATTATCATGGTGGGACGTGGCAGCGTGCAGGCAGACATGGTGCTGGAAAAGGAGCTGAGTGTTCTTTAGGCCACAGGAAATGAACTAGATCTACACTGAGTGTAGCTTGAGCATCGGAGACCTCAAAGCCTGTCTCCACAGTGACACGCTTCCCCCAACAAGGCTATACCCACGCTAACAAAGCCACACCTCCTAATAGTGCCACTCCCTTTGAGCTTATTGGGGCCAATTACATCCAGACTACCATAGAGCCCTATCCTGGGCCATGGCAAATAGGCTTTTAGTCCCCGTGGAGATGGACGGGCATGAGAGGATTTTGTGAGACATGGGGCAGGGATGTCTTCCTCCCTCCACAGAGTGGGAGCCCCTTACATGGAAACATGATGATTACCATACACTGAGGACCGAAGGAGCCCTGTTGGCCTAAGCAACCTTGGGTCTGGATGAATTCGCTAATTCTGCTCAGTAAACTTGCTTCTGTCGTCTCAGGGGTAAGAAAAGGGCATAGAGAGACAAATAGGACACTGTTCCCACCTTCTAGAAGTCCCTAGAAACTGCAAATATCAACTCCAAAAGCTATATCCAAATAAGGAGCTAGGCCAATCGTTTCTAGACAATCCTTCAAAGACTGTTTCCGTGCTGATTCTAGTTCAGGTCAAGCTGGCAAGCAGGATTGACAATCACATCCACAGGGAACATGCTTCTTTGTCAGAGGCCACAGGCCCCTATGTCAGGATGCTATTAGGGATGGTTAGCTAGTATTGGTACCCAGGTCCTGGCACTACGGATGCAAAGGAATAGGGCCTAGCAAATGTTTGAGGCTATTGATGGGGTTTTTTTTTTAGATTTATTTATTTATTAAGTATACAGTAGTCTGCCTGCATATGTCCCTGCAGGCCAGAAGAGGGCAGCATATCTCACTACAGATGGTTGTGAGCCACCATGTGGTTGCTGGGAATTGAACTCAGGACCTTTGGAAGTGAAGCTAGTTCTCTTAACCTCTGAGCCATTTCTCCAGCCCTCTTTGATGGGGTGTTGAAGGCAGGTCCAATGTGTGGAATTCTGAGCCCCACATTGGACTTAGAGCCCCTTGGCAGGGGCCTGGCATCCATATCTTTGCCAGTGATTTTTTTTGCGGCGGGGGGGGGGGGGGGGGGGGGGGGGGGGGGGGGAGGATACAGGGAGATAGGGTCTTTAGAAGTCCAGCGCAGAGGCATGAGGCCCTACAGTGAGAACGGCTCATGGTGGGCTGAAAAGGGGGTTCACAGAGTCCCAGGCAAGGGGACCAGAAGAATGGAGAATGGCCATCCTTTTGAGGACAGTGCCCAGTTTTCTTGGAGACAAGGAAGAGAAAGGCTCATGATTCAGGCTTCTGAGAAACTGACAGGCCCCAGGAAACAGGATCCAGGAATGGAGCCAAAAAAAAAAAAAAAAAAAAAAGAAAAGAAAAGAAAGCAAGGTAGCCTTGAAAGCCTTTATATAGAATCATAATCATATACAGAAAAAAAAAGCATGTTGGCATGGCTCAACGAATCATAAAGAACAAACAAATCCATGAAAGCACCCCCAGACAAAACCTAGGGTGCCACCAGCCTGCCTTATGCCCCACCCCTTTGTTCTGTCCATCACTTACCCTGGAAGACAGCCCTGACCTCAAAGCTCTTTGCTCCAGCCCTCCACACAAGATTTACAGATTTTTCCACAATGCTGCAGGGGGTCACAGCCTGCCCATTCTTTTTAAAGACTGTTTTAAGTTATTCTCTTATATGTAAGCTATCTCATACATGCATACAATGAATCTTCATCATATCCCCACCACTCCCCCCACTCCTCCCAAACCACCCCAGCATGTCCCCACCCCACCTTCTTGCCCTTTTCCTATTTAAAAGTTGTTATCCACTGAGTAGTTAGTGCTGCCCACACGGGGCGAGGTGTGGGGCCACCCACTGCCTACAAGAAGCTGCACCCCAAAGAAGAAATAACTCCTCATTCCCCGGCAACCTTCAACTGCCGACAGCTAGGGGTGCGGCCTCGCGAGCCCCTTTCTACCCAAGCTGTAATGCTAACTGGCTCGGTTTTGTAGCTACAGCTACTGTGAGCTCATGTGTTTACCCGCTGTCTCACGTCAAAGCAGCCTTCCCATCTCTGGCCCTTACATCCTGTCTACCCCATCTTCTGGAATGGTCCTTGATCCTTGTGGGGGGCGTGTAGACAGGCCTAGGTACCTAGGAGAATTGGGGTGTTGTTTGCAGTCTGCCTCAAGCAGCATTCAGACTTCCTGGCCCTCCTGGCTGTACCACAGGACCTCGTGGACAGCTGTCAGCAGAGCGTCCGGGAGCACTGCACCTTCAGCCACCGGCTGTCGGAGCTGCAACAGTGGATCACCATGGTCACACAGACACTGGAGTCACACCAGGGGGACGTGCGTCCATGGGATGCTGAGTCCCAAGAGGCTGGACTTGAGGTAAGATGTTGGTTCATCCTTTCGCCTGCAATCCCCTAAAGCCTTCTGCATGTCCTTCATACTGGGGTGCAGAGACTCCCCCAAATTAGTACCTCACATGCATGTGTGTCTATCCATGTGTCCCACAGAGGCTACTGGCTGAAATTCCAGAGAAAGAGGTCCAGCTGTCCCTGCTCCAAGCACTGGGCCAGCTTGTGATGAAGAAGTCCTCCCCAGAGGGGGTGGCCATGGTCCAGGAGGATCTGAGGAAGCTGATGGAGTCCTGGCAGGCCCTGCGGCTATTGGAGGAGAATCTGCTGAGGTAAGGGCCTTCCTTGCTCCCCACTTTGTCCCAGACAATGCCTCCTCACCACCTAGGGTCCTGAGAGCATATGACTGGGGGATGTGTACCAGGTATGGTACCAGGAACCTGGGGATATCCACACCTTTTGTCCAATTAGTGGTTCTGGTAGGGTTCTGAGGACTGGAGAGCTTCCCTCACTAGGGAGTTAGCCTCCAGTCTGTTCTTGCCTGAGCTTACTTCTTTATCTGCATCCATAGGTATATGTACCTCGCTCGTATGGTAAGATGAATTTAATGTAAGAAATAGCATGAACATGTCTGGGATCTTCTGACTGTCCCCAAAGGTGGCTGCTAAGTTCTTAAGAGTAGTAGTGAATCCCCAAAGTTTTCGTGGTGCCCCAGGTACTATTGCTTCTCCTGGGATGCAATAGATTCTCATCACACAGCCGCCTTGAGGAAGTGCGTTTGCCTTTCCAGTCTCATCAGAAACCAGCAGCTGCAGACAACAGAGGTGGACACGGGAAAGAAACCTATCTTCACCAACAATATTCCAAAGGCTGGCTTTCTCATCAACCCCCAAGACCCCATTCCCAGGCAGCGGCGTCGGGTGAGTCTGTCTCACAGGCTTTGGGAGATGTCAGTTGAGGAGGTAGGGGCCTCCAGCACAGTTCGGCTCACAGGATGTATCTACTTTCTTGTTACTTGCCCCTGATGTGACCTCAGAAGCAACCATTTGCTAGAGAACTGAGAGTCTTGGGGGGCCTAAGATTTCAGAGGTCCTACAGGATCACTCCAGAAGGTCAGGAACACACCTGGACAAGACTGACCCTCGCTTATCTGATCCCCTGGCTTTAAAAAGTGTAGCATATGCTGGCATCTAGGCTAGATGCTATACCCAGTTCTGGGGTAAAGAAGCCCTTCTAGGAATGTTGAAATATCCGCTGAACCCTCAAGACTGAGCAGGAGAGGCATTGTCTTAAATACTTTTCTATTGCCATGACAAAACACTATGATCAAGGTAACTTAAAAAAGGCAAACCGTTTACAGTTCCAGAGGGTTAGAGTTCAGGACCATCATGGCAAGGAGCATGGCTACAGCAAGCAGGCATGATGCTGGAGCAATCGCTGAGAGCTCACATCTTCATCCATAGGACAAGGCACAAAGAGCTATCGGGTTGGCCTGGTTCTTTTGAAACCTCAAAGCTCCCCTCCAGTGATACAATTTCTCCAACTAGGGCATGCTACCAATTCTTCCCAAACAGTCTACCAACTGGGAGCCAAGCATTCAAATATATGAGGCTCTAGGGACCATTATCATTCAAACCACAGCAGGCATGTTCTCAGGAGAGGGGGTAATATATACAGAGACCCAGAGGGAGGGTGAGTTCAAGGTGCTGAGATGCAGCTGCAGGCTGCACCAGTAGAGAAGGAGGAAGACAGTTCAACCTTCAGGAGCCTGTAGAACTGGAGCCCAGGGCCCTCCGGCCACATCAGGAAAGAGTGAGGCACCACTTAGGGATAGGGAAAGGACTTGACTGGACTGACTTTCATTTTGCTCTGTCTACATGTCCACAAGAATGGAGGAAAGATGACCACTTTCAGGATGGGTAGGCATCCTGGTCAAGGGTGATGACCACTGGGTAGGTGTCCTGGTCAAGGGTGATGACCACTGGGTAGGATTCAAGGGTGATGACCACGGGTAGGAGTCAAGGATGATGGCCACTGGGTAGGTGCCAAGGGTGATGACCACTGAGTAGGAGTCAAGGATGATGACCACTGGGTAGACGTCAAGGGTGATGACCACTGGGTAGGGTATCCTGGTCAAGGGTGATGACCACTGGGTAGGTGTCCTGGTCAAGGGTGATGACCACTGGGTAGGTGTCCTGGTCAAGGACGATGACCACTGTGTAGGTGTCCTGGTCAAGGATGATGACCACTGGGTAGGTGTCCTGGTCAAGGGTGATGACCACTGGGTAGGGTATCCTGGTCAAGGATGATGGCCACTGGGTAGGTGTCCTGGTCAAGGACAATGACCACTGGGTAGGTGTCCTGGTCAAGGATGATGACAGCTTCTGGAGCTCCAGAGAGGGGATGGTGAAAGATGCTCTTGCCTTCTAAATATGGATTAATAGTGTGACCCCTTCAGCATCCCTCTGAGCCTCTGCCATGCCATCCAGGTCCCCTGTCCTCATCTTCATCCTTTTGCTTTCCCCAGTAACCATGGCCAGCAGGCTTTTCTCACATCTAATCACATGCTTGCCTGCAGGCAAACCTACCGGAAGAACATGACCTCTATGAAGATTATTCCCAGCTCCTGAGGGACTTTGAACAGTGGCTGCAGGTTGAAAACTCCAAGCTAGCTGCAATCGTCACAATGAGAACAGCCACAGCCAAGGACTTGAGGACCAGAGAGATGAAGCTGCAGGTCTGTTCCAAGGAATGATCCTCATGGGGTCCATGCCACCAGAAGTTCCTCAAATGAAGGAGGTCATACTTAATAGCTATTTGTAAGCCAACCTAAGTCTAAGTAATCATTTTATATTTTATTTTTTGGTTCAAATAGTTTAGAACTAATTTTTCATTGCATCTGTCTATCCATGCATCTATTTATCCATCCATGCATTCATGTATCCATGCACGCATGCATCCATCCATCAATCATACATTTGTGCATGTACCCATCCATCCACTTTATATTTCTCTATTTGAAAAATAACACCATGGATTGCTTGACCCTGGTATTGGTTAGCTGTCACTGTATCATAAAACACCATGACAGCAAGTTGCTTAAAACAACAGCTATTGTTTAACTCATGATTTTGACACTTGGTGATTTGAGCTCAGCTTGGTTTCTGCCAGTTCTCGGGTCCAAGACACATTTGTTGGACAACTTTATTTTTTGTTGGATGTGGAACAGCTAGGTGACCCTGGCGGGGGTCTGGAAGTTGGTGGAAACAAACAGGACATGAACCATGCATGTCTCATTCTCATATGGGACAGCCCAGACTGCTCCGTGTAGCTGCAGAGTATAAAAAAGCCTATAGGAACGGGAAAGGCCCTTGGATGCCTAGATTAAAAGTTTGCATGCTAGGGTCACACAGATTCTTCTGTGTTATGCTGTACAAAGAAAGTCAACAGACTGTCTCAGGATCAAGGGAAGAGAAAAGAGACTCCACCCCTTGATGTAAAGTCAAAGTATGGTGGACAGGGGAAGGGAACCCCACACTTGTATTCAGTCTACCACTGCTCTCCCCTTCCTGCCATCCTGTCGGACATCCTGTTGGACAGTCTTGGTCTGCGTCTACTGCTATCATGAAATACTCCAGACTGAGTAATTTATAACAAATGAGAATTTCACCACTCCAAAGGCTAGAAAGTCCAAGTATCAGAACCTAGCAAGGTCTCCTTGTTGAGTCAGCATATGGCCAAAAGATGGAGGAGGCACAAAGAGGCAAAGGGTGTAAAAAAGGCCTTTTCATGGCAGCAGTAGTCCCGCCCCTAAGGGTTGTTAACCCCACCCTCGGGCCAGGTCATCTCTCAACGATCCCATCTTCCATTACTGTCAGCTTGGGTTTGGGAAGGGATGATCATTCAACCCATGGCAGTCACCAGACCCTTCTGGAGTCCCCTTCCTGGATGCTTCTGTGTCCTCTGCACTTACTGATCACCTGTTTATGGTAGCAGCTTCCTCCCTGCTCTCTTTTCTGGTGGACTGTCACCAGGTCATGGCTTCTGCAGGCAGTCATGACCCAACAGAACCACTAATCTGACCTTAACCGCCCCCCAAGAAAGTTTTAGTATGGAGTTCAAACCTAAGCCATTGTCCAAGACTCCCTAATCAAGCCCACGCTGTGTCTCTTCTCCTTTATTTATGTGAAATCTCAGTGATATTTTAGGGTCCAAATTTCTTCCTATGTATCCTGCCTCATTGGCAATCATTTGAACTGCATTTGTGGTATGGACTCTTTATAAAAAATATCTGACAAGATCTCTTAAAATATCACTTTTGCCTTGATGACTTTTTCCCATATGTCAATGGAATCTACAATTTTTTCTTCCCACTGTATATTTTTGTCTCATTGTTTCTTTTGTGTATTTTTCACCCTTGACTCAGAGTGTTGAATTCTGAATATTTTTTTTCTGACTTGGCTTCCACTTGACTAATGGTCTTTCTGGCTGTGTCTCATTTGCTATTATATATGTCTGTGAAGGTCTTAACGTTGGTTGTCATAGCGATCAGTTTTAGAGCTTGTATTTGGGTCCCTCTGATCTGGTTGGTTACATTCTCTGGCTTTTATCACATCCTTGATGACATGTTTAAGCTGGTCTTTTAATTCTTTAAACTGTAGCCCATCATAATTACACTGTCTAATAGTTCTGATATCTCCAGCTGTTTAGGAATATCTCTGTCACATATTTCTGCTTCTCATTCTTGGTGCCATGTATTATTGTGTGGTTACTTTTTGTCCTGAACAAAATACACATAAAAACTAATTTGGGACTTAGGATAATCTCTTCCTCCAGAGGGAATTTTGTTTGATATTTCCCAGAGGCAGGGGGCCTAAGATTCTCAGGCTACTGAGTCCAAGTTCAAGTCTTGTAGTTCCCTGGCCCACTAAGATGATCTGGAGCTAGGCTGTACCTGTCCTCAAGGTTCAGATTCACTATGGTTCCCTTTACTCTGAGCGTAAGCCTGAAGGCATCCCATCTACAAAGGGAATCACTTATAACTCCCTTCCTCTGCAGAGCCCAGGCTTTCGCTTTCACCACCTTACCCTTGGGAGGCTGTGGAAACACAGATTGTTTTCAAAGCTGGTATTATTCCCTCTAAGTTGGTAAAAGTCCTAAGAGCAGAAGGAGGTCTGAACAGAGGCCTCGCTTCTCTGGGTTCTCATCCATCCCCAGAGCTTCTGTGATCTTTGTTTACAGTGCTGGGGATCACACCCAGGGCCTCAGACACACTAGCCAAGTGCTCTGCCCTGAGCTGCACTTCCACCCCTTGGCTGCGTTTTGTCCTGACTAGCCTCTCCTATTTGTTAGCCTGTTGATGGCTTTAGACACTGCAATGTGTTCTCAGTGCATAGCTCATCCTGCTGATGGGGCTGCGCATCACAGCAAGTCTTACCACCTACCTCCCCGCTCAGATCTGTTGCCCGCCCTTCACTCCAATCATGTCAAACATGACCTCTCGTCCAGCCTGCAGCATGGTAAATTCTGAGCAGCCTAGCCAGGGTCCAGGCTGGGGCTGAAGCCTAGGCTCCAGCCTGTAGATCTCTCCTCCATCCCACTCCTCCTCTCAGGACTCCAGGGGAGAGCCGCAGTCTCCCCAACTCAACATCAGTGCTGCCGGTCTCAGCAATGCCAGCAGGTGGCATGTCCACGGTGATCACTTTGTGATGGTGACCACTGTGACAAACCTCTTGTGGTCCTGGAATGTCGGTGTTAAAGGTAAACACTGTGGGATGTTCTCTAACATTCCGGGTGCATAGATGAAAGCTGGAAAGGCGGCTCAGAGGTTAAGAGAACTTGCTGCTCTCACGGACGACTGGGTTCAGTTCCCAGCATCCACATGGTGGCCCACAACCTTCCATGACTCCAATTCCAGGGTCTCTGACGCCCTCTTCAGACCTCTGCAGGCACCAGGCACAATCTTGATACACATACATATGTGCAGGGAAAACATGCATACACATAAAAGAAACACTCCTAAGACCAATTTTTAAAAAGAATATTTATTTTATGTGTGTGAGTGTTTGCTTGCATGCATGCCTGTGCATCCCATGTGTGTCTGGTACCCTTGGATCAAAGAAGAGGGCATCAGATCCCTCGGGACTAAAGTTAAATGAGTCAACATTTGGGTGCTAAGAATTGAACCTAGGTCTCTTCAAGAGCTGTGATTACTCTTAACCATTGAGCCATCTCTCCTACCCTAAAAGCATTTTTTTAAAAAACTTGCATGGGTGAGAGTCTCATTTTACTGGTCCTGTCCACATCTCCCAGCATGCCTCAGGTAGCACTTGATTGGCATCTCCTTCTCAGCCAGGTGGGGCTCTTGGGCTACAGGGTAGCCATGGCATGACGCTACCTTTTCTCTCAGGAGCTAGAGGCACGAATCCCAGAAGGCCAGCATCTATTTGAGAACCTGCTCCATTGCAGGCCAGCAAGGGACCCCTCCAATGAGCTGGAAGATCTGCGCTATCGATGGATGCTGTACAAATCCAAGCTCAAGGACTCTGGCCACCTGCTGGTAGGTGCTGCGGGTAAAGGGTGGGGATCCAGGAAGCTTGGGAGAGACAGAGCTGGATCTATTTAGTGCATCCTGGTGCTTCCATACACCAGGCCAGTGTGACTGCTCAGAAGAAGTGAGGGGCACACCTGCGTCTCAGGCACTCCACTTAGGTCATTCTTTGTCCATCTTACCTCCTGGTGACGCTGGAGTTCTGTGAACAGTGTCCGGATCTCTTGTTCCCATCATGTTAGAGTTTTATGTACATTTCCCATTTGGTCCTAGAGCCACCTTCTGCTGGAACCTCTGCACCCCATTCTCCAGAGGGGATAACTGAGTCCTACCCCTGACCCCAATGCTAGAAACTCGGGTCACAGATCTTCCCTGCAGAGGCAACATTCTGTTAAATCTCTGGGATGTGGTGCTGCTGTAGGGATGTGTGGGTTAGATGCCAAGGATGCATGGGGTGGATGCTGGGATGCATGGGGTGGATACCGGGATGCGTGGGTGGATGCTGGGATGTGTGGGTGGATGCTAAGATGCGTGGGTGGATGCTGGAATGCGTGGGTGGATGCTGGGATGCGTGGGGTGGATGCTGGGATGCGTGGGGTGGATGCTGGGATGCGTGGGGTGGATGCTGGGATGCGTGGGTGGATGCTGGTATGCGTGGGTGGGTGCTGGGATGCATGGGTGGATGCTTGGATGCGTGGGTGGATGCTGGGATGCGTGGGTGGGTGCTGGGATGCATGGGTGGATGCTGGGATGCGTGGGTGGATGCTGGGATGCGTGATGTGGATGCTGGGATGCGTGGGTGGATGCCAGCAGTCCTGAGAGTTAGTCCTCTCTTCCTCTGACCTTGGCCTAGCATTTTTTTTTCTCCTGGACTTCCTGTCTCCTACGCAAACCATGGGTAATGATAGCCTTTGTTAAATACTGTGGTCTCCTGACACACCTATACAGGAGAAGAGGTATCCTTCACCCTGCACTGATGATGTCGGCAAGACAAAGAAGTTAAGCTTCCTAGGTCCAGGAAGGAATAGGTGAAATGCCCGCCTCAAGCCTCCCTTTCGGGCACTCCAGGCTTTTCCTGCCCCACAACTGCCAGTTTGGCCACTAGGTGTCAGCCCAGCCCAAGCCAGCTGGGCCACATCCCGGCCCTGGCCAAGGCCATCCAGACAGTGCCACCTGGACCTGAAGTGTGTTAAAAAGCTCATTAAACAGAATCCCCTGCTGGCGCAGGTTGTCCAGATGACCAGAAATTTTAACGAAATACTCCCCTGACAATATGGATATTCTCCTACGGGTTCTGCTGGGGTTGAAGTTTTACGTGCCTTGCTGATTTTTTTACCCATTTCTTTCCATTCCCTAAAATAACAGACGCAGAGTTCTCCAGAGGAGCTGATTGCATTCCAAAAGGTATGTGTCTGCCGTCTGCTCCACGCAGCTAAAAGACCTGTGATTCTGGGGCAGGGTGTCTGCATTTTCTAGAATGTTCCATGACATCTGAAGGTGCACGGATAAAGAACCAAGTTTGGGTTGTAATGGGTTTGGGTCCCGAGGTATGTGTTCTCAGGAAGCCCCAGCCTCAGGAAAGAATTGAAAAGAGTGTGTGGATTAGCCTTCACACACACACACACACACACACACACACACACACACACACACACACACACACACCACAATGGAAGAGGGACCCTTACATTTGTCATTCAGACCCAGAACACACTGGATACTGGATTATCGGCTAGATACTGCTTTGATTACTGTACCAGCAGGTGTAAACCAGGACTGACTCAGGAGCCTGGAATATTCTGGGGAAATTGGATTGTGTGGCGTCTTTGGTCCTAGGGTACACATTAGAAAGGAGTGGTGGAGTCCTTTGCTCTACCAGGCCCGTGATTCCCACCCCCCACCCCCCATGTTTGTCACAGCTAAAGTGAGAACAGTACCAGTTCCTGCCTCTAGGTGGCGCACCCACTGCCCGAACTCTGTGTGCCAGGACTGGTTTCTAGGGAGTCTCAGTTCCATTTCTTATGCTTTGACCAAATATCTAACAGAAACAAAACCTTGAGAAGGGATTTGCTTTTGCTCAGGGTTTCAGAGCATGCAGCCACAGTCGTCAGGACTCTGTGCCTGGGTAGTCTGTCTTTGTATTGGGAGCCTGTGGCAGAGGATGGCTCTCCACTTCCTGACCAACCAGGAAGGGAGAGAAAAAGTGAGATGTTGAGGGAGGGGATGAGGAATATGGGGAGGGGGAGAGAGGGAAAGGGAGAGGAGAAGAGGGAGAAATTGAGGACCCAGACCTGGTATGACCCAGCTAGGCCCTAACTCCCACGTGGTCCATAACCTTCCCTTATTAGGAACCACCAGCTAGGGACCAAGCAGTCAAAACTGTGAGCCTCTGGGGATATTTCGATTCCAATCAGGACACTTGTGGCTAGCGCATCTCATTTTACCCCAACACTGACACCAAGTAGCATGCTTAGCTCAGCTCTAAGCCTGGGGGGAAATGGCGCAAGGAGCTGGCGTGTCCACCAGGCTTGTGACAGCCAATAGCATCAGCCCTCAGGTCTCTACAGCTATGGTTTAACTTTTCACAGGGTACCTTAGGAGCATCCCTGGGACCCTTTTCCCCATTCCTGTCCCTTGCTGTCCCCAGTGCTGCCCTTGATTTCTTGTCTAACATCGACTGTAGTGACATGAGCCCCCAGCATACTCTGGCTCACAGAACCTGGAGTCACGTCAGATCCTCATTCCCCAGAGTCTAAATCCCAGGTGCGGGCTCCCTGAATCCATTCCTGGCCTCTGGCAACTCCAGGAGAATGGGTGACTCATGGATCAGGTAGGACTTATTATGAACCAAGACTACACCCAGGGCCCTTTGCCAACCAGCTTTATGGCCTTGGACAAATCACCTTGCCTTAGGGTTCCCTTTCCCATGTGTGAAGTGGAAATGTCAATGTTGTCTTAATTTACTCTGTGAATTAATTTTGGAGACTGTGCGAACCAAAATACACCAAGGCAGACATGTCTCGCCCAGGATTCTCCTTAGTTCAGAAGGGTATGAACCTCAGGGACTAGGAAAGGAGGTTTGGAAAGGGCAGGTGGTCCGGACTGCCTGGCCTGGTGGCCCCTGGTGGAAGATGGAAGTCCCAGTATTCAATCTGCCTGTTGTTACTTCACTTTAAGTTCCTCCATGGTTAGGAGTCTCCATCCACGCAGCCTAGGCTAGAGTTGGTCAGAGGTGGCCGACCTCTCGACACTGAGACATAACATCTCCTACAAAGTTACAACGAGTTTTGGACCACGTCCCTAGCTACCCTGGGGTGCACGTGACCTGTGGGTCATGGATTGCACACCTCTGTCAGACAGATTCTAAGTGGTGGCTGCATCCAGATCCCTGGCACGGTCATGGTCTCCTCTGACTTCTCGTTGTTCATTTATGTCGTCAATGCCGAGTCAGTGATGACTCAGTGTTAATGTGCTCAAAACCCATCAGCCAGCCAAAGAGTTACAGTGTGCCATCCTTGAGCGTGTGCACCTGGTGGGTGCAGAGCGGCAGGAACATCTTTGCAGAGCTGGGGCTTGGCCATCTCTGTGTCAGAGGGTTCTGGAGCAACCGCGAGAGCTCACAACCCCAGTCGTCACCAAATAGCCCTGTTTAACTACAGCTAGGAGATGGCAGCCATTGTACTGTTGGCAATACTAACTAGGAGGTTTATGTGTTTATCCGTGTTGTGTTTCACAGGTAGGTGTATAAGATGCTGACTTCAGTTCTGGCTTCCTTTTAAGCCAATAAACCTCAGCTTCCTAGAAAGAAGGAAGCTATGCATGGCGGCTTGATATTCAAAGACAGTTAGGATGGCTTGTGAACCCAGATGGCTGTGCCCAGCCCTGAGCTTCTGATCCACTGGTCTAGATAGGTTGTAAATCTGTATTTCTGACTCAGTCCCAGGTGTTGCTCATACTTCTAGTTCAGAGACCACACTTTGAGAACTGGTGTTTTATGCTCTGGATTCAGATCCAGGCTCAGTCACTGGTGTGTGTGACATTACTTGACCATGATCTTGCAATGGCGGAAATGAGTCCTCTAAACTAAAGGCAGGAAGTTTCCTTCCAAGCAACTGGCACATAGCAGGCTCTAAATGTCGTGTATGTGAGGACCTGATTCTCAGAGGCGTGTGAACACTGCTTCTGCTGCTTCTTCTTCTTCTTCTTCTTCTTCTTCTTCTTCTTCTTCTTCTTCTTCTTCTTCTTCTTCTTCTTCTTCTTCTTTCTCTTCCTCCTCCTCCTCCTCCTCCTCCTCCTCCTTCCAGAAAGAGCAGCGACACAGAGATCTTGTATTAGTCAGTTTTTGGTTGCTATTAGAAAATGCTTGAGAAAATCAACTTATAAAGAGGGAAGGGTTATTTGGCCCACAAGTTTTACAGTTTCCCATCCATGGTCAGTTGTCCCTGTTGCTTTGAGCCTTTAATGAAGTAATACATTATGGTGGGAACATGAAGTGGAACAAAACTACCCACCTCATGGCCAGGAAGCCAAAGAAGAGGAAGAGAAGACCCAGGTCTGATCCACGATCCTTTTCAAGGACACACCCCCTAATGACCTAAGGGTCCTCCAATGGGTCCCACCTCCTTCATCATTATTACTTATTTCATGTGCTTGAGTGTTTCACCTGCATTGTGTCTGTGCAGTACATGCATGCAATGCCTTTAGAGGCCAGAAGAGGGCATTGGAGGCCCTGGAACTGGCGTTAGACAGTTGTAAACTGCCCTGTGGGTGCTAGGAATCGAACCTAGGTCCTTTGCAAGAGCTGAGTCATCCGTCACCCCACCTCTTAAGGATTCCATTCCTCCAAATACTCTAGCATGGAGAACCGTTCTGTAACTCATAAGTCTCTATGGGACGCTCAAAACCCAAATTCATAGTCCTCATGTGTTTTTAGCTTAGGTTAGGTATGTGCACATATGATAGGACTCCACACATGTGTGCACACCCAGGTGCACACACATGTGCATAAAATCACATGAGCATGCACATATACACATATGCACACGTGTACTTGTGCACATACATGCACACACACACACACACACACACACACACACACACACACACACACACACACAGAGGCCAGCCAGGTAGAACAGAAGTGCCTTCTGCAGAAGTTGAAATCGCACCAACTTCAAACCCTTCTGTGTGTTATTTTCAGCCCACAGGGAAGAAAGACACCCACTGTGGAGCTCATGATGTATGTGCGGTTGATTCTCCACACTTCCTTTACTCCCCCCAGGCCTCAAGTCATCTGAGGCTCCAGCTGCGTCAGCAGCTTCAGCCTGTTTGTTTGCATAAACAGAGTAATTAAGATTTATTAAACTTGTACTGCCAGCGTGTTAGCCAGCTCGGTGCCAGTGGATGCTTGCCTGCAGCACTCAGACACACAAATCGTAGCTGCCGCTTGAATGGCAGCCCAGCCGGGCCGTGAGTCACCTCAAGCCCCGCTGTGGCCTGGGACGTGTGTCGCCCTCCCTGAAAACAGTCTTTGCACTGGAGCCCTGAGCTGACCTGAGCTGCTGCTCTCCAGTTTGCAGGGGGCAGGCACAGTGTGCCAAGGCGCTCTTGGTGCACTCGCCTATGTGTGGTGCCACCCAGGAGTGGCACTATCTGATCGTATTCCCATGGTTTTAAGATACATAACTTATTTTACACTTTCCCCTGGCTGGAACTTAGATTTTTGTTCCATTCTTCTTCACCTTCTCTCTTTCCCTTCCTCCCTTCCCAGAGATTCCCATAGCCCAGGCTAGCCTCAAATTCACTGTGAGGATGAAACTGGATTTCTAATTCTGCCTCTACTTCCTGAGTGCCAGAGTTACAGTGGACGCTATCATACCCGCTCACCCAGTGTCATGGTGGATATTATTATACCTGTTTACCCAGTGTCACAGTGGACGCTATCACACCTGCTCACCCAGTGTCACGGTGGACGCTATTATATCTGTTTACCCAGTGTCATGGTGGCCGCTACCATACCCACTTACCCAGTGCTAGGGATCCAGCTAGGATCATACATGCCAGCACACACTCTACCTACTGAGCCACAACATCCCATCTCCTTTGTGGAGGCTGTTCAGTCGAGTGTATTCTGGCATTGGTTGCTTTATTTCATTTATTTATTTATTTATTTATTTATTTATTTATTTATTTATTTAAGATTTCTGTCTCTTCCCCGCCACCGCCTCCCATTTCCCTCCCCCAATCAAGTCCCCCTCCCTTGAAAGCCCAAAGAGCAATCAGGGTTCCCTGCCCTGTGGGAAGTCGGTTGCTTTATTTCTTGGTAGTAAGTTAATGGCTGCCTTCCAGCAGGTGCCTGGGGTGGGTGGGGTACAGTGATACCAACCTTGGAAGGCATCAGTCGGCTTCCCGTGGTAGAGGATAGTTGTCACAGCTGAGGGTTAAAAATTCAAAATGGAAGTATGGTTTCCTCTGAGTATGTGTTGCTTTCTAAGTCAAGTCTTTGTGAGTTTGGGGCTGTGGGTCCACCAGCCAAGGGCTTGTGTCGTCCCTGGCCAAATCTATGGTTCTGTTGTGCCGTGTCCTTTCGAATCCTGGAATGGTTTAAGGAAACTGCAGAGATCCTCGTGGCTGGCAAAACCATCAGCTGCATGTCTTAATTTTCTCACTGTTGTGAAAAATTACAAAAGCCACTTAAGGAGGGATTTGAGGGTACAGTGGGGAACAGTGGGGACTTCCCTTGTACGGAGTCATGGTGTCTGGTCACACTGTGTCCACAGTCTGGGAGCAGAGAGAGATGGATGTTGAATGTTTTCTTCTTTTTCTCTTTCTTTCTTTCTTTCTTTCTTTCTTTCTTTCTCTCTTTCTTTCTCTCTCTCTTTCTTTCTCTCTCTCTTTCTTTCTTTCTTTCTTTCTTTCTTTCTTTCTTTCTTTCTTTCTTTCTTTCTTTCTCTTTCCCTCTCTTCCTTCCTTCCTTCCTTCCTTCCTTCCTTCCTTCCTTCNCTTTCTTTCTTTCTTTCTTTCTTTCTTTCTCTTTCCCTCTCTTCCTTCCTTCCTTCCTTCCTTCCTTCCTTCCTTCCTTCCTTCCTTCCTTCCTTCCTTCAAGACAGGGTTTCTCCTTTTTATTCAGTCCAGATCTCAGCCCTTGAGCTGGTTCCACCCACAGTTAAGACGGGTCTTCCCACCTCAACTGGATCTAGAATTCCCTCATAGACGTACTCAGAGGCTTGTTTCCATAGTGACTCTTGGTAGCCAAGACTAACCATCGCCGCTCTCTTCCCAGTGGGCAGACTGTGCAGCTGTGGTCACACAGTATCCAGCATGTCCCCCTGCCCCATTCCCTCTTGAACCTCCTAGTCGCTCACCGTGTATCTTGCCTTGGTTCACAGAGTCGACAGCAGAGGCGGTGGCGGAATCCCTGCTCTCTCCTACAGAAAGCCTGCCGGGTGGCGCTGCCACTCCAGCTCCTGCTCCTGCTCCTTCTGTTGCTGCTCTTCCTGCTGCCGGCCGGGGAGGAAGAGCGCAGCTGCGCCCTGGCCAACAACTTCGCCCGCTCCTTCGCTCTTATGCTTCGGTACAATGGCCCCCCGCCCACCTAGTCCTCTGGGGCCTACAGGTGACGTTCTGCAGTCCCTCTGAGGCTGGCTTTGGGGGGAAGCTGGACAGACCAGACACCCAGAACAGTCGCGGTCTAAATGCTGCATCCGTTCCCAGAACAAACTTGCTTTTTTCTACGATGTCATTTCTGTCTATTTATACTGAACGTGTACTATGTGTGGTTAGAAAATGATGTACAGAATTTTTATATGTGTGTATGTATATGCTCAGTGTAGATAACTTCAGACTCGATGTTTCTTTGTGCCTACGGGAGTCCCCAGCAGTGTGTTTCCCTAATGGGATTTGTGACACTCGTGCCTTAGCCTCCTGTCATCCCTGGCAGACAGGAGAAACCACACATTACTTTTATGATGACCTGTCACCCAGGAATCCAGGCGTCAGTGCAGAAGTCTCCGAGCTGTGAGCGTACCTGAGCAGAACCGGAGTCCTAGGGCTCTTGTGCATGTGACTAGGTTAAAGCCGCAGACACAGTCAGAGCAGTGAGGCCGGACAAGGGACAGAGGGACAGGGGGGACAGGGGGACACCGAGAGAGGAGCAGAAGACCTGTAAAGGAAGGACAGTGTGCCACAGAGCAATGGTGCTTAGCACTCCACCCCCACGCAGCAGCCACTGATAGCACAGACCGTGAGGAATGCCCGTGACCATAACCGTGACCCTGTGTCTTCAGGAAGTGGCTGGGGTTTTGTTTGTGTGTTTTCTCCAGGAGAAAGAAAAAGGAAGACGAACTTGGCATTTTATTCTGATGCACAAGGGTGAAGTACGTTGCCAGTGGCCTGTGCCAGTCCCAGGAGGCCTGTGTCATTTTGTTGTTAGGTTTTCTACCGGCTAGGGTATGAACTGAGGGCAGAGTGGGAACACAGGCCTACATGAGGCAGAGAAGACTCAGGCCATCTGAAGGGGTCTCTCTTCCCTTCTGAGAAGGAACTGTGCGGACTGGTGGGTCTACAGGGCTGGGCAAGTCCTACCTTCTTCCCCCGTGGGCCTAGGGCTCACCACCAAGAACCAAGCAGGAGCAGGCAAAGTGGGTTCCAGGCACATGTGGGATGCATCTGGTGTGACTCCAGGCTATGCCCAAGGCTGGAAACATAACCAGGGAATGCTGGAATGATTCCTAAGAGGGTTAAAACTGGATCAGGTTTGACCTAAACTGACACTTTTTTTTCTTAGAATTTTTAGAAAATTCTTAATGCCCCCTTTTTAACAGATGGAATTTGTCTGTAAGGTGTGGATACCCTCAGGCTTAGCCATCAGAGGCACAACCAGTGTTAAAGAACCGGAGAGGCACTTTAAACACGACAAATACTGAGGCCCTAAGAGGGACCCTACTCAAAGGTCACCACCCTTACACACACACACACACACACACACACACACACACACACACAGTCCCTCCCAAGCTGGCATCAGGCTACACCATGTACAGCTTCCATCTTAGCACAAAACCTAGGAAAGGCTGGGCATTGACTAGCAGGAATACAACACCTTAGGGGTTGTTGCTTGATCTGTAACCTCAGCCAAAAGGCCTCCCCTGGACCCAGCCACTTTGCTGGGAAATCAACGATTGGTGAACCCTGACCTCAGACCCAGGTTGCCGAATCCTGATGCTCACTAAGGCCATTGGTCCACTTAGTCAGAACTGTGGCAAAGGACATCAACGCTTCCTTTTCTACTTCCCCATTTCACAGGTGAGAAACCTGAGGCCCAGAGAAGGGAAGTCACTTACCCATAGCCACACAGTAAGAGCCTATAAAGCCATAAGTGGGTTGGTCACCAGTCTTCAAGTGATAGCACAACCTCTTCATATTTTCCTTCCAAAAAAAAAAAAGAGGGCTAGGGCACGACTCAGAGGTGGAACACTTGGCCAACAGGTATAGGTCCTGGGTTCCATCCTTAGAACTTATGAGAAATAAAGAGAAAACAGAAAAGAGAGCTGTTTACTATGAATGTAGCCCTGTCTCGTGGCAAATGCTGGGGAGGGTGAAGCTGCGATGTGTGGGTGGTGGGGTGGTTGAGAACATTGTATTTTTAACTATTGTCAGTGATACTGTGGGTTGCTCGTTTGCATAACTTTTTTAACAGAGGGGATTGATATTTTTATTACTTTCATATGAATATAGCTGGAATATGACATACTAGCCATTTCTGGGTGCTTTTCAGACACAACTTCTTTTGCTTAAAATGGATATAGACACCTGCTATTGTGACGTGGTCTCCTAGCCAGTAACCATAGCAAGTTGGAAGGTGTCCCTGGAGAGAAGTATTGGAGCTTAAAAAGCTGACAAAGTCTTTGTTAGGAGTGTTGTGTGTGTATGTATGTGTGTGTGGATGTATGTGTATGTGGGTGTGTGTATGTGTGTATGTATGTGGGTGTGTGGGTGTGTGTATGTGGGTGTGGGTTTTATTATTCTTTTGTCCTGCGTACAGTCCTATGTAACCATCCTAGGTCAGCCCGGGAATATGTGTGTGTAAGGATCCAAGCAGGTAATATCAGTGCTATTGGTCCCATACCCTGTGCTCCTCTCTCTGCCCGTTTCTGCACCATTTGTTCTCTGAGTGCAGAATGCAAGGGCAGAGTACATGTTTATAATGCAGGTGGAGTAAATGGAGTTAGTGGTCAGGACAGCAGGTGAGCTAGGAAGCCCTGGAGGTGCTGGTGAGGCCACTCGCTAGACACAGGCTGTGATGGTTTGAGGGAAAATGGCCCCCACAGGGAGTGTCACTGCTAGGATGTGTGGCCTTGTTGGAAGAAGTGTGTCACTGTGGGGGTGGGCTTTGAGATCTCTTTTGCTCAAGCTTCCCTCAGTGTGACAGTCAGTCAACATCCTGCTGTCTTCTGGTAGAGATGTATCCAGCACCATGTCTGCCTGCATGCCACCATGCTCCCTGTCGTGATGATAATAGACTGAATCTCTGAAACTGTAAGCGAGCTACTCCAATTAAATGTTTTCTTTGTGGCCATGGTATCTCTTGACAGCAATAAAAAAACAAACAAACAAACCCTAACTAAGACACCAGTGACGTCTTTCCATGGGAAACCAGCAGCAAAGGGCTGGCATCTTATTGATTCCCACAGCGCCCAGCCTAGTTCAAGCTGAGAGACTAAGGGGGACCTTTCTTCCTCCCTTTAGTGTGGAGCCAGGACTGACCAGATTGACAAGAGCTGCAGAGGGTTTGAGAAGCAAAGCCGAGCTGACCTGGCCGGGGTAATCAGATGGGGACAGGGAAGGAGGAGAGCAGAGTCAGGGACCACAGAGGCTGCACTGGTGCACACTAAGTTGCCATGGAACCAAAGTTTATGTTGTGTGTGTTTACCACTGTTGAAGAACGGAGACAGCAAGGAAGGGAGATAGGAAGTGGGGAGTAGAAGAGAGAAGGAAGGAGGGAGGGAGGGAGGGAGGGAGGGAGGGAGGGAGGGAGGGAGGGAGGGAGGGAGGGAGGGAGAGAGAGAGAGAGAGAGAGAGAGAGAGAGAGAGAGAGGAGGAGGAGGAAGATGGGTGGGTAGGTAGATGGATGGATAGATAGATAGATAGATAGATAGACAGACAGACAGACAGACAGACAGACAGACAGGGGAAGTGCCCTGTCCCCTTTTCATTCTAACCCATTTATTAAGCCCTTGGAGTTCCTTCTTGGGACCACACATGTTGGTGCATTAAGATAAACAAAATCTAGGCCCTACCCTTTGGACTTCCTGGACCAGGAAGTGTCTGCTCTGTATAAGATGTTGAACCCAGACTAGGGTCTTGGCCCTTGACTTTGCTCATCTGCCTCCCACATGTGCTGCTCAGCCTACCAGGAGCTAGAGGCCCATGGAGGAAACACAGGGGGACTGGGAATAAGTAGGAGTGTGTCTCGTGGCCTCTGCAGATTAAAAGTGACTGTGACTTTGAGGGCAGAGGAGATGGACTAGGGGGGCCAGCTGAGGGGCAGCAGAAAGGGGCTGAACACGGCAAAGGGGGAAGGAAGCTCACAGTTGGGCCTCTAGAAGGCTAAAGGTGGATCCTTGGGGTCTGAGCACCGAGGCCTGGCAGGAGGCCCAAGGCTGTCTATGGCTGTGGACATCTAAGTTTTTAGACACAACGCAGGAGGGGTCACACCCCACTTCTCTCTCGTGGAGGTCAGCCTCTAGTGAAGGCTTCTCTGCTCCCCTCACCCTAGTCTTGTACTCTGTCCAGGTCAGCTTGGAAGAGAGAAGAGGGCCATTCCCTCCCTTAACATACTTGTGACAGACATGAGTAGCTGGTCATTGAGCCTTTCTCTCTCTCCAGCCTGAATGACCAAACCACTTTAAGTGTTACTGCTAATTTGTCCTATGGGAAAAGGACCTGCTTGTCATCCTTATCCCGGATCCTAGCCCCCTCAGAAGACCAAATTCTTGTCTGCTTCTTTCCCGCAACCCCCATATTAACTTAGAACATTCCAGTAATAAGTCAGTTTTCCTTAGCAAGGAAGAAAGGTAGAATGGATCAGGCTGGTGCCTAGGTGTATCGGCCACTATTGGAACCAAAATTCCAGTTCCACTCTGAGCTCTGCATCTGGGTCTCATGCTCTGTTAGTAGAACTTGGAGGTGTGGCCTCTGAGCTGTCTGCCAGCCCCTGCTGGTTGTCAGGAGTCCCTGAGCCGACCTGTCATGGAGCACCCCCCTGGGGAACCTGGGAGTGAAGAGGTGCACTTCAGAGGCAGCTCCCCTGTCCTGCAGAGCCCGGGCTGCACTCCCCACTCTGCCCTGTGTTCACATCTTCCAGGAAGCACACAGTGGCTTTCAGTCTCTCTTGGCTACTCTGAGCTCCTAAGAGCGAATCCTGAAAAGGAAAAAAGGGCCACAGTTCTTCCAGACTAGTTCTAACCTTCTAACTGAGACCCACCATCACCCAGCAGACAGACCCCAGCCTCTCCAGCACGGGATTGCAACTGGAGGACTTACGATCAGCCAACATTTCCTCCTCAGCCCCAAGGCACAAGAGGAGGACTTTCTATTAATCGACATATGAACGAGGAGAGGTGGGGTTATTTTCAAAAATATAACCAAAGAACAAAAGCCTAGGGTCTCTCGGCACAAGCCTTATAGGCAGCCCACAGGACTCAGCATCCTCCAGGCACCTGCCTGCCTGTGGTTCCCATGGTAACATCATAGGTGCTCACAGCATGGTACCCAGTCATCCCTGAACATAGGAGATAGCAGTGGCAGAGGAGTTCTGCTTCCCAAGAGATCCAAGGCTTCCTTTCAAGTCCAGAGCTGACTAAAGGCCTCAGCGCCCCTCAGCCCTGTGGGAAAGGTCATGTGATTCCTTGGGTTCCTGCTCAGTATTGTGCTAGCTCAACAGTCAGGCCACCTGGACTGCTAGTGACACTGTGCAGATGAGGGACAGAGCCAGTAGCCCCTCTTCTAGTTCAAAGGGAAGACAGAAAAAGAGACTCACAAGGTAGGGCCGTCAATACAGCCCAACTCCTAAGAGCCTGGGCTGTGGAGTCATGAGCTTATGTACTGAGCCCAGAGCACAGACAGGGCTAGCAACCTATCTAAAATCAGCCAGCCAGTGGATAAGTGAGACATTTAGGATTGGAACCCAGGGGTTACCGGTCACAAGTTGGGTGTTTTTCTGCTACTGTGTGGAGCTTGCCTTCGTCTTGCGTTGTTTTTCTTTCCCTTATGGACCACAGGCCACTGTTACTTCCGTATCTATCTGGTTAGCCTGTTGGAGGGTGCCATTTCTGTGTAGGGATTGCAGAGTTCCTCTCCTGTATCTACTCTGCCAGCAAGCTTTTTGACTCCCATTGCCAGTGGGAGCTGGGAGCACCAAGATAGAGTAACAGGGGCAGGGCTGGAAATAGACTCAGGCCACCGCTATCAGGGGCAGATGCAGGATAGAAATTGCTTTGAGAGATCACTATTCATGAAGCCAAATTCTTCTAGAAGAACAAAGATGCAGGAGTTCTTGGAGCTCCTGGGATAAAGAGGTGGACAGGGTGTGCATGTCTGTGTGCGTGTGTGTGCGTGTGTGTGTGCACATGTGCATGCATGTTCGTGTGTATGTGTGTTGCATAAGTATATTTTGGTGTCCAGAGCAATCAAATTCATTGTTTCCTTGTATAAACAGTACAGAGGGACCATCTCCTCATGTCACAGGTCTGTGATTAGAAAACATGAATTTTTGATAAGTTCAGCTTTCTGGGAAGGCAGGCAGAATTGGAGCCAAATGATTGTCTTGAAACATGTGTGTTATCTCGGGTCATATCAAGTCCAGAGCTGACTGAGGGCCTTCGTACTTCTCCACTCTGTGGGAAGAGCCATGTGCGTTCTCCGGCCCCTGCTCACTGCTGTTATAAAACTGTGTGAGGGTCCCTGCCTCTTGCTCACTTTGGTGGCAGCAGTGTTCTGAAAGATGAGTTCATGTTTTCATTGTGGCTTTATGTTTTTCTTTTAATGTATCTGCTCTATGTTTGGAAATAAAAAGCTCTATTTTGGTCTATGAGATGCCGTGTGGTTGCCAGTCCTTCTTCTGAAGTCGGGGTTATCTGGGGAAGGCATGAGGTGGAAGATGCAGCAGGATTATTGTAATTGGAGGTTTCTCTCTCGCCCGCCAGTTCCTGAATAACCACACTGAGGCTTAATATTAATTACAAACCATTTGGCCTATCAGCTCAGGCTCATTGTTAACTACTTAACAATGACAACTTAAATGAACCCATTTCTACTATTCTATATTGCTGGGGGCTGCAGACCCCTGGTCCCTCCTTGACTTTCTTTGCCTGCCTCCACCCTGGGTTTGTATGTGGGGTTGGTTATGATGTTCCATTAAGTAACCTCCCTGTAGAAGCATCCATCTATCCGGGAGTT